TTTAATACTTGTAAAAGTATTCATTTGACATTGTGGGTTTACCTATAATGCGAAGAGATGGCGCTGCCTTGCAGCTTAAGAATAGCTAGAAAGAATTTCGACGCGGTCCGTGAGGGCCGCGGTAGCATAATTGGTCAGTGCATTCGCCCGGATTGCGAAGGGTGCGGGTTCGAGTCCCGTCTGCTGCCTGGTCCGCGTGGAATTTTTTTCTAGTTATATTTTCTTTAGATTTAAACATCAAGCAGTTACATGCTTTAAAAATAATAAAAATTATAACTATAATTGCTATTTCTTCTTTCAAATGTTTAATACTTGTAAAAGTATTCATTTGACATTGTGGGTTTACCTATAATGCGAAGAGATGGCGCTGCCTTGCAGCTTAAGAATAGCTAGAAAGAATTTCGACGCGGTCCGTGAGGGCCGCGGTAGCATAATTGGTCAGTGCATTCGCCCGGATTGCGAAGGGTGCGGGTTCGAGTCCCGTCTGCTGCCTGGTCCGCGTGGAATTTTTTCTAGTTATATTTTCTTTAGATTTAAACATCAAGCAGTTACATGCTTTAAAAATAATAAAAATTATAACTATAATTGCTATTTCTTCTTTCAAATGTTTAATACTTGTAAAAGTATTCATTTGACATTGTGGGTTTACCTATAATGCGAAGAGATGGCGCTGCCTTGCAGCTTAAGAATAGCTAGAAAGAATTTCGACGCGGTCCGTGAGGGCCGCGGTAGCATAATTGGTCAGTGCATTCGCCCGGATTGCGAAGGGTGCGGGTTCGAGTCCCGTCTGCTGCCTGGTCCGCGTGGAATTTTTTCTAGTTATATTTTCTTTAGATTTAAACATCAAGCAGTTACATGCTTTAAAAATAATAAAAATTATAACTATAATTGCTATTTCTTCTTTCAAATGTTTAATACTTGTAAAAGTATTCATTTGACATTGTGGGTTTACCTATAATGCGAAGAGATGGCGCTGCCTTGCAGCTTAAGAATAGCTAGAAAGAATTTCGACGCGGTCCGTGAGGGCCGCGGTAGCATAATTGGTCAGTGCATTCGCCCGGATTGCGAAGGGTGCGGGTTCGAGTCCCGTCTGCTGCCTGGTCCGCGTGGAATTTTTTCTAGTTATATTTTCTTTAGATTTAAACATCAAGCAGTTACATGCTTTAAAAATAATAAAAATTATAATTAAAAAGTTCTGTTTGACATTAAATTTTCTTTCGCCTAGTGCCTATAAGTATTGCAACTTTTGATACTTGCCTTCCGCATTCGAAAACTTTGTCGAAATGGTACTCTAATATAAAAGGAGAACCTGGATTTTCTGATGAATCTTTCGAGGCTTTGAAGGAAAAGGCTAAAACATCGGAACACAAAATTATCTGTGCGCTTATTGCAGATGAGATGTCGATAAGGCGTCAAAGTTTGTGGGATGGCAAAAAAAATATGGATATAATGACATGGGTACTGGTTCATCTGAATGCCAAAGCTTAGCCTCGGAAGCGTACGTCTTTTTGATAAATTCTGTTAACGATAATTTTAAAGCCCTTGGGATACTTCTTGGTTCATGGCTTAAAAGCTGAACAAAAAGTTAATTTAATAAAATTATGCCTTATTAAATGCTATGAAGCTGGCGTTAAAGTTGTGTCCCTTACATTTGATGGCCATTCAACTAATATGACAGTGATGAAGCAATTACTATGTAAAATAAATCATAATATGTAATCATAATGTATTGAAGACTACTTTTAAACACCCAGCCGATGATTCTGACGTAGCTATATTTTTAGACCCCGTTCACATGATAAAATTAGTTAGAAATCATTTTGAGTCCAAAAAAACATTTCTAGATGAGAACGAAGAAGAAATCAATTGGCACCTAATATGTGAACTAAACAAACTTGAAGAAAATGAAGGACTTCATATAGCTAATAAACTTACACGTAGACATATAATGTTCCGTAACAATATTATGAAAGTCAAGCTAGCGAGCCAAATACTGAGTAATAGTGTAGCAACAGCCCTAAAATTTTGTCGTGAAGATGCCAAATTGTATGCATTTAAAAATTCCAAACCCACCGAAACTTTTGTAAAAAATATGAATGACCTCTTCGACATTTTCAACTCCCGTAACATGAAAAATTTTGATTATAAACAAGCTTTGAACAGTCATAACAAAGATATGATATTCAATTATTCATAAAATGAAAACTCATATTTCAAAATTAAAAATTAATAATGTAGTTAAGAGAAAAATTAACAAAGATGGAAGAAAAGTGCAGGTGATAATGAAAAATTACAAACCAGTATTAGAATAGTTACCATACGGGTTTCCTGGGTTTACTTATATGCATTGAGAGTTTGAAATCTCTATACCAGAGTTTGATTGTGACCAATAATCTGCTTGTTCCAACATACAAATGTAGCCAGGACCATCTGGAGTTACTTTTTGGAGTTATACGTATGCACGGAGGCCATAACGATAACCCCAATGCTTCCAATAACGGAAATTGCATACCACTTGAAAACATAGGAATATTAAATTGTTCATCATCAACCAAAGCTATAAATTCCTCAGCATATTCGCAAAGATTCGAGGACAATGATGAGCTCTTCAACCTAGATAAAACACTTCCTCTTGAAGATAATGGCGGCAGCATAGCAAAATTATTATGTTCTGAACTTCCTCAGCTTCATGATTTGTCGAAGTACATCGTAGGTTACATATCAGGTTGTGTAGCTCATTATTTATCAAAATCCATAAAATGTAAATTTTGTATAGAAACGATGTAAGCCACCGATGTTCTATATTTTCATAAAGTTATTGGTTTAAAAAACAAAGGTGGCCTTTGTTTTTCGTCTCAAAGTCTTTTTGATGTATGTTGCATTTGTGAAGCTCATGTAAGAAAAATTTCGAATGAAGATTTTGTGATTACTTCGGATGCCCAATATTTTGCGATTGTTCTCTCAATTTTCAAACAATTTGTAGGAAAACCTAACATTTTTGCAGTTGTTGAGGGAACATGTATGCATCGAAATAATCTGATAAGGGCCGTAATAGAAAAATATTTACATATACGACTTCATCATTTGTCAAAACGTAAAAATATATTGATTACCTCAGATTCAAAACGCCAATATTATAAAAAATTAATACAACAAAAAGGTATGTAAATAAAGTACTTTTTTTTTAATTACTTGTTTTATTTAACTAAAGGGTTCTTTATGCATAACAGTATAATAATATTTATCTAACAGTATAACTGTAATAGTGTACTGTTGACACAAAATATTATTCGGGTTGCATTATTTTGAAACATGAATTTGAATTTACCCTACAATAAGCGAACTCTCCCTAAGCTATCAAGACTGTGCGGGTGGGAAGTATGAGGAATGCGGGGGATGCGGATTGGTTTTTGGACACAGTGAGCGGCGTACGTTATCGGCTGTTGGCTCCTGCTGGTTTGTTCTGTATTCTGAGTCTTAACTGTTACCATTCTGTGATATGATTTGAAATAAGTACCTAAATATAGTGTTTTATTAACAACCCAACTGCAAAAATGCAGTACTTACCTTATTTTATTCATGACCTGGATACAGAGTCCTTACGACAACCAGTGTTCCCAACTGGTATTTAGGGTTGCCAACGATAGATTATTTGCTTGTACTGATTTATTTCTTTAATTTTTAATGCCTTTACATTGCATATGGCGGATTTAATGCCAACATGGCACTCTCTACCAGTCAACCATAAAGAACGTGCAGAGTCAATGAAACAGCAGACAATCATATAAACAAAATTAAATAGCGTTTAATACATACATACAAACATACATATATATAAATATACATAACACAGTCCTGTTTGGAACGTTTCGAACGTCTAGAGGAAGTGCATTCCAAAGCCGAATGGCAGTAAGGGTGAATGAATTGAAGACAAACCTAGTCTGGTGAATCGGTACTTCAAGTATCAAATTATCATTTGAGCGGAGATTTAATCGATGGGAAGAGCCCAGTAACTGAAACCGCGATTTCAGATATCCAGGGGTGCGTGGATCGTATAGGAAGTTGAAAAGGGTGCAAGCTGTCCTCAAATACGTTCTCTCTCGAATAGGCAGCCACTTAATAAGCCTTCTGCGGAATTCGGAAATATGGTCGTATTTACGAAAACCAAAAACAAAACGAATAGTGTTATTGAGAAGACGATCCAACTTATTAAGAAATTGTTGATTTATATCAGTAAAACAAGCATCAGCATAATCTAAGAGGGGATGAACAATTAAGGGACTGTACAAGAGAGATTTTAGTGCACGGTGGGAGAAATTCTTTAGACGATAAAGCGCACCAAGTGTTCCATTTACCTTGCGGCATATGTTCTCCATCCCAGCTAAAAGAGTGATCGAGTTTCGAGTATGAGCCCAAGGTTTTTTACGTATGAGAATAAGGGATGACTACACCATTGTACGTAACAGCTGGAATTGTGTTCAAATGTAGGTGAGAAACTTGCACTCTGTGTAACATTGAGGCTGCTCACCCCCCCTAGAATTGATAAATAGACCAACGGGTCGACTAATCATAGACTGTAGACAAATGTTTTTCCAGTGAAATTTTCTTTAGACTCAAACCTCTAGCAGTTAAATGCTTAAATTAAAATAATACTGGTTTGGATAGTTACGGTTTAAGCTTCAACGTGTTGCCTACAATGAAAAATCATGTTATAAATTTATCTGTCAAAATCTCGTACATATGTGTAGTGTTCTCGTACCTCGTACTTGTACGGTTGGCAACCCTGCTGAAATTGTAAGGAATGCGCTAACTAAACCATCCGCGAAAATGCACTAGGATTATGCTAATTTTAATACAAGAGAACCAAATAAATAAAATGAATCAAAATATTTAAAAAAAGAAGTACTTATTGTGAATATATGTATAGTTTTTTTGTGACAAAGTTAGATCGTCATCTGAATCGTCTTCATCAGAGTTTGAATCATGGTCTGAATTCTTTTTTTTTTTTTTTTTTTTTTTATATTACTAGGTAGGCAAATGACTCTACCCCACCTGATGTTAAGTGGTGATAAAGTCCAAACGCGAAGATAGCTGGTACAGCAGTTATTAACTGCTACACCAACCATCCTCACCTTGCCGGCCCGCAAAAATGCTTCTTCACGCCTCTCTTAAAGGACCCCAGATTATAGGAAGGAGGGAACACGTGCGCGGGTAAAGAATTCCACTTACGAATAGTACGACAAAGAAATGAGTCGCCAAATTTCTTTGTTCGTGTAGGAATAGTGGCCACAGTAAGTCGATGGCAACGTAGGCCAGCGCGCGTGGTCCTCCGAAGAAAAAGTGATGGAGGGATAAGCAAGAATAGCTCCTCAGAACACTCGCCGTGGTATATTCGGTAGAATGCGCTTAATGATGCCACATCACGGCGTAATTGTAGAGACTCGAGTTTCTTAGTTGCCTCTTCATCGCCAATGATGCGGGCAGCGCGCCGCTGCAACCTATCCAAGGCATCGAGTAAGTACTTTGCGGAGCCATCCCAGAGGTGCGAGCAATATTCCACGCAGGACCGCACTTGGGTTTTGTACAACAAGCACAGTTGATCGGGCGTGAAAAAACGCCGCACCTTGTTCAGGACTCCGAGTTTGCGTGAAGCTGTTTTGATCAACGTTTCGATGTAGTCCTTTGGATTCAGGTCTGAGCGAACTTCCATACCGAGCATGGTAATATTGCTCTGTAGCGCCAGTGTTGTGCCCTGAAGAGAGGGAAGGGGAAGGAATGGCGATGTTTTTGCCGTGAAAGCGCAAGCCTGAGTTTTCTTGGCATTGAACTCAACCAAGTTCCTAGTACCCCATTCGGAAATGTGGTCTAAAGCCCTATTGAGCTCAACGACAAGATTCTCCCGTTTCTCCATGGTTTCTACCTGTCCAGCCGCCGCGTGTCCAAAGTATCTCGCATGCACTGTGCTATCGTCTGCATAGCAATGAATATTCGCAAGTGGAATCAAATCATTGATATGCAGCAGAAAGAGTGTGGGGGATAGAACGGAACCCTGAGGAACACCGGCATTCACTGACATGAACTGCGAACTACATCCGTCCGTAAGGACGCGAATTCTACGCTCATGCAGGAAGTCAGCCACCCAGGCGCAGAGCTGAGCAGGCAGACCGTATGCAGGAAGCTTGGAGAGAAGGCTCTTGTGCCAGACCCTGTCAAAAGCCTTGGCGATGTCAAGGCTAATAGCCAGAGACTCTCCCCGCTTGTCTATAGCTTCACCCCAGATGTGTGTCACGTACGCTAGAAGGTCACCCGTCGATCGATTCGGCCTAAATCCGTATTGACGATCGTGAATTAGAGAGTAATCTTCTAGGTAGCGGGTCAGATGGTTGTTAAGGACCCTTTCTAAGACTTTACACAACACTGAGGTGACAGCTATCGGCCGATAGTTGGCCGGGTCTGAGCGGTCCCCTTTTTTGGGCACCGGTTGCACATTGGCGTCTCTCCAAGCTTCCGGCACACGCCCCAAAGAGTAAGAGAGTTGGTACAGTCGCGTAAGCACGGGAGACAACTCCGCTGCACAATGTTTTAGAACAACTGCTGGGATGCCATCGGGTCCACTAGCTTTCCGGACGTCGAGTGATTGCAATTCCGCACGAACATCACGCTGCCTGATTTTAATGTCAGGCATCGTAGTGCCACAATGAGGTAGTGTAGGTGGCAGTGCATTGCAATCACTGATTCGGGAGTTAGCCGCAAAGAGCTTTGCCAACAAATCGGCTTTCTCTTGCGGCTCATGAGCTAGTGACCCATCTGGACATCGCAGAGGTGGCAGCGAGGGCTGGCAAAAGTTGTGTTGCACGGCCTTAGCCAAACGCCAGAAACTACGGGAGCCCGTAGGGTGCGTTAACAATTCGTGGCCAGTACGTGCTACACGTTGGGCATCCGCTCTGATGTAAGCTTTCTTACAAGACTTGGAAGCACTATTATAGGCAGCTTTCAATGAGTTAACCCCGGGATCCTTAAGAGCGCGGCCTCTGATCCAAGCGCGATATGCCGCCTGCTTACGAGAAACAGCATCGGCACAATCGCGATTGAACCAGCGGTTACGTGTGCCCTTACTGATGAGATCAGAATGTGGAATGTAATACTCCATTCCCATTACGATCTCCTCAGTAATGGCAACGGCACTGGATGATAGGTCCTTCTCATTGAAGCAGCGCTGCTTCCAAGGGACAGACGCAAAGTAATCGCGCATACCATCCCAATCTGCCGACCCATAGTGCCAGACCCTGCGTTTGACCACCAATGGTCGAGGGGTTTTGGCCTGTGGCACCTTGACAGATATCAGGCAATGGTCTGATGAATCCAGTGGGGCTCGAACCACAATCTGATACTCCTGCGGATGGGTCGTAAGCAGAAGGTCTAGTAAAGAAGGCGCTTGACTTGCTATATCTGGGATCCTGGTGGGCTGATCAACCAGTTGTGTCAGGTCGTGCGTGAGAGCGAATGCATGGGCAGAGATCCCTGCATGGTCAGTTTTGGAAGAGCCAAGCCACAAACCGTGGTGGGCGTTAAAGTCTCCCAAAAACACCAGTTCTGCGTTGGGAAATTGCGCCTGGGCATCATCTGCTACCCTACTGAGGTGGTCAAACAGCCGAGTTGTCTCAGCGTCGCCGGTGTGAGATCTGTAGAGGCACACGTAGACTCTGGCCAAAGGACCAGAGTCTACATGTACCGCCAACATGGAAAAGGAGGGGTCTTCCAGGCAGCTCAAACGGCGACAACAAACATCCGCCCGAACATACAGGCATACGCCGGCTTTTGCTTTGAAGGATTCTTCAAGCGCGTAGCCGGGATATTTAAGGTAGCCTGTGTCAGCGGGCGGAAGTATTTGTGTCTCCGTGAGAAACAATAGTGCTGGCCGTGCTGTCTCAAGATGGTGGTGGACAGCATTGAGGTTAGAGTGGAGTCCGCGTATATTACAGAACTCAACCTCAAACAGCGCGGAAGGCGTGGGGGTGTGCACCGCTGTACAACCAAACTTTATTTTACGGGCTGCCATCATGAGAAAAAAGTTGAGAGACGTGAATCGAGTGGAGTTAGTCGCGACAAAGACAGGCAAATATATGGAGGCACGTTTTCCCGAGTAACTGCCTGCGAAAGAGATACGCCGACCCAACGGACGGAAGGGCCCCCGCACCCTCCCGGGAGTGGCCGCCGGGACCCCACGCCCCGGTCACCAACCGGCACGACGGTCCACCCCGAGATTATGCGTGACATGATAGGGCAGCCTCACGAACTGGTTAGGAACGCTCGGGCCCCTGTACTGTGCCACGGGCGGCCAGCGGGACAGCCGTTTCTACGGGTCTCCCTGGCCGGTGGGTCGATGCAGTCCTCCCGGCATCGGTTCGACGGATGCCTCCACTGGACCGAATCTGTCGCGGCAATCTCCACTCGAGCTCTGGTTGTACGCTGGCTGATCCCGAAACGCGCGTGAAGCACTTCACGGGTTTTTCACCATGCGTACGGTGGTAACAAACCAGGCGGGTGTTAGGCACCCTACCACCAGGAGAGCAGATGGAAGCTCTGATATCCCTCAGTCGCTTCTTACGACACCCGCGGGCAGTGAAGGGGCGGTGAGTGGTATTCTTTCTCCGTCACCGCACGGATAATTCTTTCTCCGTCACCGCACGGATATAATTCACGGTTGATGTGACGGCTGTTTGTGAAGCTGAGGGACCTGGTGGTGTTTATGGTTGGAGTTTAAACTAGTCCATCTCCTTCGAACCGACTTTTCAAAAACTTACTTTCCTTCCCTTTGGAATATCATAATTATAGCAAGTTTTATTTGCTGCATGTAGCCCAGATCGAATATGTAATATTGAATAAAGTGTGTGAAGACTCATTCGATTTCGTTGCTTTGTTTTTATTATGTTCATCTGGCTAAATACTCTTTCCACGTCGGCATTTGCGTTATTACTATAGTAGCATTATTGGCTGCACGACGTTTATCCATGGCTGACTGACCGAGCATCACTAACTAGTTTGCGTGTGAACAGCTCGGATAAAATTTCCGTACACTTACAAATACACACTATTCAGACACAAAAAAAACTGTACAATTGTATACAGTACAGACATTAATATCTGACATTTATGACAGAATTTGTGTCGTAGTTTAGTACGATTTTAGGTCTGGTTGCCAGCTCATATCACACTTTGCAACGAGGATATTGTAACGACTCTTCCCCGCTCATTTCACTCAGTTCAAGGATTCGATGAAATGAGTAAGACCCTATCCTCTTAAATCAAGGACATTACTCCTGCACCCGACACGTATTCTGAGGACTTATCACCTGAATGCGTGACTAGAGCGCGGGTTAGAATCGTGGCAAAGTCAGCTCTGCTCCGTAGCCCCGCCGGGGACCTATACACACCTACAATATAACTTCGTGCCCACAACGGTCTATTGATAGATTTTAGCTATTATACCTAGTCAGGTCATAAATTCTGTCACATGTTTAATATAAAATAACTGAAAGAAGTTTATTCATTTTGTAACCATTTATATACCAAAATGAACTTAATAAAACATAGATTCTTATGACAGTAAAGTTTATTCAAAATGACCTCCGTGATTTTGAATACAGGCCTTCAATCTGCGCGGCCAGTCGTCTATCGCAGCACGAACGAGGTCCATGTCAATATCGGCGGCTACCTTAATCAAGGATGTCTTGAGTGACTCCAAATTGGGATGAGGCTTTGAGCACGCCTTTTCCTCCAATGTTGCCATATCTTGTAATCTAACGGACCCAAATCTGAACTGGAGGAGGGCCAGTCTTCGTGCCGGATGAAGTCGATTTCACGCGCCTCTAGCCAGTCTTGTGTGCTCTTCGCTTTATTGTTGGAATACCCAGTGCCTGTTATTGAACATGGTATGAGAAACAGGTTCCACAAGGTTCGTCAGGACTGTATTTTGATACACAACTGCATTCGTTTTTACACCTTTCTCACAAAAATGTACCTCTGTTAAGCCCCAATAAGAAACTCCCAACCATACCATGAGCGAGGATGGAAAATGACCTCGTTGGACACGCGGAATACGGTTACTCCTTCACTGCTGTGTGTGTACACCTTATCATTGTTTGTTGTAGCTCTCTTCTATGGTAAAAATGTTTTTATCCGAAAAAAGAATTTCCGAATATTTTTTTCCCGCGTACCGCTTCAACAAAGCGTGGCATCTCTTCAGTCTCAGGTCCATTAGACGAGCATTCAAACGATGTCCTGTTTTTCTTCGATATGCCCGAAGCCCTAAGTCTTCATTTAACACCCTTTACACCGTGGTTCTGCTTAACCCCATCTGAATGGCCACCAGTTTTTGCTTACGTTTGGGATTTCTTTGAATTCGCGCCTTCACAGCTTTTATCACTTCTGGAGTCCTAACAGACCGAGGGCGACCACTTCTTGACCTGTCATCTACACTAGAGTCTTCATTGTATCGTTTGATGGTACAATAAACGAATCTTTTGGTTATATTCAAATTTTTCAGTATGTCAAAAATTTAAATTGGCGCGTAACCGCAACGATGCAACGCAATAACTGCAACACGGTCTTCTTTAAGCGTCCACTCCATATTTAAAAATGAGAAAAAATCTAAAATGTACACATTTTTATTTTCATGAACAATTCGAAATTCGAATTCAATAAACTTTTTTGTGGCCAGCATTCTAAAAGAAAAGTTTTGACAAGTGACAACACTTATGACCTGACTGTGTAATTATCGGGAGAAGCCTGCACGAAAAAATGTGGTTAAGCTTATCTATTGACTACATTTTCATCCGATCTTAAGATGTGTAGCTTCCTATAATACTGTGGAAATTTATAATAAATATCCATCCAAATATGAACCGGAAAACAGCAACTTCTTTCTTCTTCAACTACGACGATATCCTATATACGCGTAGGTATACGTATTTTTCCATATTATAGGACAAAAAACATAATAGTAGCTAAATAAAAAATAGTTTAAATTTTTATTTAAAGGGGTGGCAAAACCGGCGATCAAGCATAGGCACGAGTCGTTTGATGGTAAGCGACCACCATAGCTGCCGTTTCTGCCGCCATTTGCCCCGTTGGCTAGAGTAGAGGAGTTTTGATATCTAGGTCATCTAGTTATTCCCACCTTGCAGGATGATGCTGACATTAAGCGGAAACGAAGGGCGCTAGCTGTCAGAGCGAACATGGTTATTAGCAGATTTGCAGAAGAGGTGTTCCACTGACTTAAAAGTAACTCTTTTTAGGGCATTTTGTTCTTCTTTCTACACATGCATCCCCCGGACTAAATACACTCTGAACTCGTATGACGCCCGTTTTTGTAGCGCCTCTACAATGTTTGCGGATTGCGGAAGCTCGCACAGATTGTTTTTATTCCATAATCCGCAAACATGGCACTCATATTATACATGATACATTAGTTTTTTGTAACTTGAAATAAACAAATAACTTAATAGCGTAGCTAGAGTCAGCTAGACACTTGCGATACCAGGGACTCGCGTCGCTAACTCACTCCTACCCCGTGGAGCCTTGGCATTATTAAGAACTGAAAATTATTTTAATTTAAACAAAGTTATTGAGCTTGCAAGCAATTCTAATTGATATTGCAAGCAGGGGGAAGGATCAAGACTTGTATAACTCATTGGTTATAATGGAAACTAATGGAAAACATTACAAAAACATCGATGACAGAACAGCACAAACTACTGCATGGAATCACTTTAAATTTAGGTCAACCTACCAGGGAATCGAAGGCCATGATAATTAAATATTATTATAGAGAAAAGATTGTGCTAGGTACCAACTATCATTAGATTTATGACGGCGCCTGTTGTTTTTGTAATGTTATTCATGAATACCAAATCGACGTAGGTACGAATTTTCATTGATAAAAATAACACAATCGCGTCTGTTTTCCTCGACGAAGATATGATAGTGTTCTTTATAATTTGCGAACAGCGCCACCGTCGGCGGGGCGGGCGGCGCAGGGTGGGGGGAGGGCGGGCGGCGGCCGGCGGGAGGCCTGGCACCGCGCCACCGACCGGATCGCGGTCACACCAAAACATACACATTTCTCGGGAAAAAAATAACGAGCACTTGCAGATCTCGCCGTCACGTCGCGTCTGCTGCGCGCCACACCGCGCGGACACACCCGTCGGTAGCGTAGTCGAGGCTTCGAGCTGTGCCCGCTGAGGTGGCGAGCTGTGACCGCTAGAGTAGCGAGTGCGACCGGCCGGTGACCGGCGCGCGGGGTTACGCTAGGTGCTCGTGACCTCGCCTCACTCAATCCAATCACCGCGTAAAGCCTATCTCACGGTCACTGGAGCGAGACGATCAGCCGACCGACTGCACCGAGACTGATCTTCTATTTAGGTGAGTTAAGCACGTTTCTCTGCGATTTTTTTAATAATTGATTCTCACATGTCAATAGGTAGTCGGTGATCAGGAGTATTGAAGTCTAGATGGATTTTATATACTTACTCATAGAAAACTTAGCAATTACCTGAATTGATTTCATTTAAAGTTCATTTAATATGAAAACATATTTCATATAAAGTTCTTTTAATATGTTTTCATATTAAATGAACTTTAAATGAAATCATATTATTAAGCATAACGCAATTGCCTGCGTTTTCAAGTTGGTTTTTTAACGAGCATGCTTGCAATCATCGATGTCTTGTACTGCATCTTTCTTTGTTAAGATATGAGATATATGCCAGTAATAGCTTATCTAGTGCCCGTGATACACCCGCTTTGTTTACCTGGGTGGGCCATAGGAACTCAGACTAAGAATGACTAAGAGAAATACCAGAACATCTAAACATAAAGAAACAGACTTGGTACTGTTTCATCCCTTTTTAGAGTCCCGTGAACCCTTATAGTTTCGGCATGTCCTTCTGTCCGTCCCCAGTTTTGCTTGGAGACTATTAGCACTAGAGAGCTGTAATTTTGTGGAGATATGTATATCGATCACGCCGACAAAATGGTAGAATAAAGTTTTAAAAAATGTCTTTATTTTTTTAGGGTAGTTCTCCTACCCTAGCGTAACCTGGCGATGTTTTTTTTACCATCAACCCCATCGTGTGGGATATCGTTGCATGGGTCATTTCAAATTACTTAGGGGTTCCTAAGAATAGTTTCCAAATAAAGGATCTGTTTGCGAAATATTGAACTTTAAAGTGCTTTTTTTAGTTCGAGCAGGGCGTTCCCCCCCTTTTAAAGATAAACTATTGCCTTGAAAAACCTGGAAAAATTCATGATAACAGTGCTTTTCATGAACTTTTAAGGAAAACTATAACGGTTAAGATGGATTTGTTAGTTTAAGAGTAATAGTCGTTCAACTTTAGTTAAAGAATTTTTTTTACCTATCAAAAATTCCTTTGTAGAAAACATCAGTAGTGACATACATGAAGTTATTATAGCGTAATACCTTGCATTGAAACAAAATCTAAAAAAAAGACATTTATAAACCCACAATAAAATAGCATTTTCACAACGCTACCGCGAGTACCAACGGCAACGGCTTCAGAGTCGCGCTAACGTTACGTTTTCATAAACTAGAAATGATCGGCGATTATACCGCATCATCCCCTTTTCAGGGGATGATCGCTTCAGGTGAAGCTTATAAGGCCCTTCTGGCCAAAAACATGAACGTGTTTTAGTCAGCAAGAGTCTGACATATCCTTGCAGCTGCCTGTAGGGTATCCTTGAGGATTTTACACCCTCTCCCCCGCCTGGGAGGAATAAAAAAATCGGCGGTATTCGTAGGTATTTGAAAACAAATTAATGTCGAATTGATTTTGAATTTGAGACGCAGACTTTTATTTAGGTATTATAGTTGAGATACATAGATTGATTTTAATTTAATTGATTTTTCTAATTTCCGATATAGAAAATAAAGACTCCTGATCAAATATATTGTGGTAACTAAAAGTAACTACGGACCTCTACACTGCGCGTGGCACGACACGCACTTGGCCGGTTTTTTTATGTAAACAAATAGATGGTCTTCCTGATGGATTCCTGAAACCTTACTCTCCGATTGTAAGGAAATTTTCCTTCTCTAAATAATACATGGTGTGCATGTATTATTTAGAGAAGGAAAATTAAAATACTTACAGACACCTATTAACAACGCCACTTGGCATTGGTCTGGTCCAGATGTTGTTCGGAAACTGTCGTGACAGTTCAGCCCACAACAGTTTCCGATATGTCCTGTCCTTTTATAGGCTTTAACTGCTGCACTGGAAAGTTAGAAAGTGGCAAGTGTTGATTTTCTTTCATTCCCAGTCCAATAATATATTTTTTGATATCAAAATTATCGGGAAAAGCCCCCACAGAAAAATTTTGGTTATGCTTAACCATTGACTATAATCATCTGATCTTAAGGTGAGTACGTATAGCTATATTAACTTCTGTGAAAATTATGAAAACAGCCCACGGGCAGCTTTAATTAATTTGAAGGGTTAATTGGCCGTTGACCGATCCGGAAAACTGCAACTTCTTCTTTTTTCAACTATTATCATATCCCTAGGTATTAGATAAGCTTTAACCATCTGTACTGAAAAGTTGAAAGAAACGAGTTATGTTTCTCCAAGTTCGGTAGGGATTCATTCTATCAAATTCAATCTTATTATTAAAAATTATGTTGCGCTATTTCTGCAAATTCCGAAACACATGTGAGATAAATAAGCAATTATTTGATTAGATTTTGGTTTGGAATCTTTTAATGTATGATGATTAAACATAAAAATTTAAAAGATTGTTTGATTAACCTCAAACTTAGACGCGGTGTTTCCTGTTCTATCCACCGTTGAAGATTTTTTGTCAAATCTACATCCATAAAATAGTAGTTTGGATTGGATGCATTAATGCAACTCCCTTTCAAGTGTGAAGGTGTGTTATCGCTTATATACATCTCGTACCTACTGTTCCGTGAATACTCCATCCTACGCGCTCGGCTCTTGTTTGTTTATCCGATTTTTTTTACAATTCTCTAATACAACGCGATGTTCCGAATTAATCTAGTCCCATTTTTAGGACCTGCGTAACTGCGGTCATTCGCTATTTCTGAGGTAGTCGGGTTAGTTTAGTTAAATTTTAGGAAAGCTAAAGAACTAACTTTATTACCCTGTGCATTTGTTGATATTGGTTACCACAACATATCTACCTGCATTAGTTGTTGCTATTAATTAACAATAATAATATAGCCTCTTCATTTCCCATAATGAACAAGTAATAATAAGTATCATAGAATAATCATCAATAAAATATTACAACAATTAATATTATAAATTAGATTAGATCAGATAATTTCATTTTATACAATTGTCAAAAATAATAAAATTCAAATTTAAAAAAATCTATGTGTAAAAATTAAGTGATTTACAAATCAGTTAATAATTTAATGCCATTATGGACCCCTCAACGAGTGAAGGCCTCCTGTATTTTGCTCCACGTCTGTCTGTCCTTTGCTTTTGTGGTCAAATTTCCACCAGCTTTTCTTATTATTTCATTTACCCATTTTTGTCTTGGTCTCTCTCCACCTCTTTGCATTTTGTTTGTTGTTCCTTGCCAAGTAGTTACTTTCTGTGTCCATTTTTTCTTATCCATTCGTGCAATGTGACCCGCCCATTTCCATTTTAGTTTGAGAGAATGTTCCAACGCATCTATTATTTTTGACGTTTTTCTTAGTTCTGTTTATGCTGCTATTGCTGCTGTTATAATTAACAGCAGCAATAGCAGCATATTGCCGTTGCTGTTAATAAAAAAAAAAATACGTAGGTACTTACAATAAAAATATTAATAAAAATAAACAAATGATTTGAACTGTACCTCTAGCACGAACCATTATCGTATCGTTTGCGAGTCCGAAATGTCATTGTCAAATGTGTACTGATTTTTAGTTCTCGTTACGTACTTTGTGCCGCTGCTGTTTAAGTTTCCATACAAATTTGACATTGACATTTCGGTTTGCAAACTATTCGAATTCGATAATGGTTCGTGCTAAGGGTACTGTTCAGAAAGCATTTTTAGTAATTCGAAATCGGAACGTTGGAGGACTCTTCACCTTGTTTTATTATTTTGGTTGTTTGTAAAAGGCTTGTCAGATTGCTCTACCCCGTTCAGTCCAGTGTAGTTGAGTGGATCAAATGATGTTTTTTACGTAACTCGTATTTCAATAAGTAAATATACTTTATATAAGAATAACACCTATTAATTTAGCCCCAAGTAAGCATTCTAACCACATGAGTAATAGTCGGAGAGCCGGCTGTATAAAAGTCCCATGGATCAGATACATGAATCATCTTTGGTGTATGAACAATATTTTTATTATTTATTTATGTATTTAATTAGTAACATGTTAGTATTAAATAAATGGAGAAAATCCTTGGTGTAAAAAAATCAAATTCTTAGTAATAAATGTGGGTATGGTTGGTAGTGCGACCGGATAGCGAGCGGGTCTGCGGAGCGGGCGCGGACGGCGGCGGCGCCGGCGGCGGTGGTTGGTGGGGGTGACTTTACCATGGAGACGGTGTACCCGTGCGCCGCGTCGGCCCTGGCGCGCGGACGAAGGGCGCGCCGCCCGGGCCCGCGCTCCCGGTACCGGACTGTGCCTGTCACATTCGCCGAAATCAAGGTACTTAAACCGTACACAAGATGATGTTTTTTTTTATTATATATTATTTATTTTATGAACTGACAAATACTTTACAACTTGCTCGATATATTTACACATCATATAAATGAATAACGAATGTAATATGTAGGTAATTTAATTGCAAACCTCAATATTTTGCCAGAGGTGACTTCAGGCTTCCGATTAAATGTGTGGGTGGACGAATAAAGGGGTTTAAATCATTTTTATTACGAGTCGGCTCGTACAATGATTATAATTTTATTGGTTTAATTTTATATCTTCAGGAAGTGGATGAGGAAAGCGAGGAGGCATCTGCGGTAGTGCCGGCGCCGGACCGGGAGAGGCGGCGGCCGGATGTGTTGGACGACCAGTTGACGCGGTTCACCGAGTTCCGACGCCGGCGCGCCCGCCGCGAGCGGGACGTACTGCGAGAACGCGCCGAGGAACCCGCGCCCTCTCCCTGCCCCTCCCCCTCCCCCACTGCCACTGGCGGCACACCCCGAGCAGGCAGCGAACCTAACGTCCTGAATCTTGACACTTGACGCCCCTCCGCGTGATAGCGGGTCTTAGATTTAAGCGGGTTGTATCGAGCTCGTATAACATTACTGATATTTTGGAGACTTTTTTCAAATCGAAATATCTATAGCTATTACATTAAATAAGAATGATAAATTTTGAATATTTATCCTCGTTACCATTTGTATTTTTGTAAAAAGTAAGAAGTATTAAAAAGCAAATTAGGCGTGTTATGTGGTAGGTAGACCTATACTATGTATAATAATTATATTATTTAATTTTGTAATCCGGTTGCTTACCAAAAAAAAATATGTATACTATCTAAAAATTTTTAGCTCATGATGATTAAGTAAATGATATAGTAAGTATGTGATTTTCTGTAATACATATATTGCTGTTAATATTGTTTAATAAAGTTCTAATTTGTAAATAACAAACTAATTACTATATTTTTTTAAAGCAACTTATGGGATTATTTCGAATTATACAGAAAATGAATCTTGAAATGTAGAAAGAATAGGTAGTTATTTGTTGCTTTTAAGTTAAGCAATTGTTACAAGTTTGTAAAGAAAAAAATACATAAATTTTGTGAACAAACAAATCAGTTCAGTTGTAACAGTCATTTTAATTGAATAAAGTGTCTTAGCCAGTGGCTTATAATGAAAACAAATATGATTTTTAATTACTTTATTTGCGCATTACGTATACAATAAGTTAAATAAATAAAACTCTCAATCACGCTGCATTCGGACACTTCAATAAATAGACATCGGTATATACAACTAATTCTTAATCGTAATTACGGCTACATTTATAAAATGTAATTAATAACCAACAATATAATGTATCTGACAATACGCGTAACAACACTACCGACGAGGCGCGCCGGCGCCGGCCCGGCTGCTCACACTAGCGTATTTATCGTAGTCGTAAGTGCCCTATAGGATTGGCCGCGATATACGACCTCAATCGTCTGTTCTACTATTTTTCCATTATTTTATACACCTGTATATAAGGGGGTAAATAAACGTTAAAAGACCTTGATTTGTCAAAATGAATCACAGTGCTGACTTATGTTGTTTACACAAATTGTACTAGACGTTTACGGAACAAAAGAAACAGCAAATCTGCAGGCACTTTCACAATCTGATATCACGCCCGTTACGGGAGAGGGAACGCATTACCACTAGTTTCAATTCTGCTTAAACTACAGTAAAATCAACAATGACTTTGATGGCACAAAGTAAATAAGAACAATTTTAAAGAAAAACATCTATCAAAATGCTGGATACCAAAAGTTTTAGATAATTTGGCACTTCACTAACATACTATTGAGCATATTCAGTTTGGTAGGAGTGAGATAGGAGGGTAGGTAGATATGGCACAGGGTGGAGCAGCCGCCGCCGCCTCATTATCACTGTTATTTAAGGCTACGACGTATGTATGTACAAGTGGCTCTGCAACAATTAATAAAGTGAAGGGGTCCAGCCCGCCCCCGCTCCACGGTACAATGTCTTTCGAAAATATACGTCATCAGTGGGTTCACGTACACGGTACGATCTTCACACATTTCTCAAAAAATTACTAGTATTTCTAGCTCAACCATTCAAGTGTCATTTAATAAGTACAATACGGTAAATTTGTCTAAATAAAATATTAATACGATTTACGTGTCGCAGTTTTATTACATCGATCTGTCCACCGATTTCATATAATTTAATACTGTACAAAACGTCATTTATTTGTCAGTTTTCGCCACATTTCGACATCTGCGATGCTCCAGGATACTCCGCTGCGAGCGGACGGGAAGAGTCGGGGAACTAAAACAAGGGAAGATAAAACATTTACCAAAATTTCGAGGACTCTTCCCTGGCCGAGGCCTCGATGGAATTCAAGAATCGACCCTGCTCTTCCCGATTTCAACTAATACGATCGCGGGTGGTGTCTTTGGGAGATCGCGTATCCACACGGGGCGTTCCCGGCGGCGACACTGGACGGCTGCATAAGACACTGAGTGAAGGCGGCGCGCATCTCACCGCGCGGCGCCCGCCTCCGGGCTCCCCCCCGTCGGCTCCTGGGCCGCGTCCGTCGCCGGGTCCGGCTCCGCCGCTGACGGGATCGTCTGTAGGTGCCGCGGCGCCGGCAGTGCCACCCCACCCGGCGACTGCGGCGGCTCGTCCGCCACCACCGCCGGCTGCCGCGTCAGCCGCGGCCGCGACGCTCCGCCCGCCCCGACCCCGCCTCCCGCCCCCGGTCCCGTTGCGCTGCTACCGCCCGAGCGCGAAGTACGCCACGTGCCCGTAGAAGCGGTCGCGTTCGAGCCGGACGAGTCGTTTCGCGACGACGACAGATTGGAGTCCTGCGAGGTCTTGCGCGCGACCAACCACGAGGCGGCGCGCCGCGGCGGCGGCGGCGGGCGGCCGTACGCGCGCCACGAGTCCGACCGCGACGACGAGAACTCCACCGACGACGACACCGAGCCCGCACGCACCGGCGCCGGCGCCGATTGACGCGGGGCAGGCGCCGGGGCGGGGGCCGCGCGCCGACCGCACGCGCGAAGCCAGCGCAGCAGCCGCTCGCCGCCCGCCGTCGTCGTGTCGGGCGCGGGGCTGGCCGAGGCCGCGCCGGCGCCGGACGAGGGCAGGGCGCGGCCGGACTGCACCGGTGCGGCCGCCGCGTCCGGCAGAAGACGCCGGCAGGCGCACGTGGCGCCGTGCTGGCCGCGCGACGAGCGCTCGTTGAGGCTGTTCGTGTTGGCGGGCGTCTGCCTGTTGCTGAAGTTGGACGAGTGCCGGCAGCGCCCGATGCCGCGCGTTACGCGCGACTCCTCGATCGCCTTACACACGAGGGCGCAATCCTTCTTGAACTGCTTCGTGAGGATCGCGTACAGGAACGGGTTGCAGCACGAGTTGAGCGGCAGCACGAACACGGTGAACACCTTCGCCTCCTCGAGCGAGACGAGTTGCGCGCCGAACGCGGCGGTCAGCGCGAAGAACGCGATCGGCGACCAGCACAGGAAGTCGGTGAAGACGAGCAGCGCCATGCGCTTCGCGATGCGCGAGTCGTTCGAGTTCCAGGCTTGCGAGCCGCGGATCGCGCAGTACATCTTGAGGTAGCAGCCGAGCAGCACGAGGAAGGCGACGCCGTTGACGACGAGCAGCGCGACCACGTAGCCGAGCGCGAGAGGCGAGCCGGTCTCGAAGGGCAGGCACACAGCGAACTTGCGGTAGTCGGACACGCCCACCAGCGGCAGCGCGGCCATCAGCAGCGAGAAAGCCCAGCCGGCCGCCATGACGATGGCGGCGTGGCGCAGCGACAGCCGCTTGTTGAGGTGCATGGCGTGGGTGATGGCGTAGTTGCGCTCCAGCGTGATGACGGCCAGCGTGTACACGGACAGCTCGGATGACAGCACGCCCAGGAACCCGGCCAGCCGGCACCCGCCCGACATCTGCCACGCGATCGCGTGCGCGCGGAACTCGCCCAGCGTGCCCGCGTCCACCACCGCCAGAAATCCTGCAAGAATACAAAGCACCATTATTCGTCTATCACTATTCTTTTATTTCATTCCAATAGCTTTCGTGATCTTTTTCCACGCGATACCGAGTCAGCCCGCTTTACGATTCGCTCACCCAGATAGAGGCCCATGAAAAAGTCGGCGGCGGCGAGGTTGGTGACGAGGAAGCGCGGCACGTCGATGCGGCTGCGGCTGAACACCAGCACGAACACAACGGTGCCGTTGCCTAGCAACGCCAGCAGCAGCACCGCCCACACGCCGCACCTCAGCGTCCACCAGTCGAACAGGTCCACGCACGGCAGGAAAGGACCTGCACGAACGATCCGGTACATTATCATCTTCGTGTCGGTTGGCGTAGAATCATCAGCGGTACAGAGCACGTAACCACCGCACCCGAGCGGAGAAGCTATTCAAAACAAACATCTTTCTTATGCTGCGTTTCCACTTAAACTTGGAACAGTTCTGAACGAGCAAATATTTGCTCGCTCGGTAAAAGTAGTTCGCACATCAACTCGGGGAATGAATACTCTCTTGCTCAGCTAATGGATATGACACAAGCTTGTTTTGAACATTCCATTTACCGAGTGAACAAATGTTCGTTCGCTCGGAACTGTTCTGAGCACTAGGAGCAGTTTCGAGCAAAGTTTATTCGCGACCAGCAAGACGACGACGTGTTGTCTAAATCAAAAGCGTAACTAATTATTTCCGACGATGGTGCGAGCGATCCTAGCCATCTTTGTGTTTATATCATCTATAGGTTCCAAACCGAAGTAAAAAAATAATTCAACAAGACTTTTTTCAAATTCTCTATTATACGATTTTTTAAAATAAAATCTGATAATAATGGTATTAAGGAGCTCGATGGCATAAGTGGTTAGCGCATTCGGCTGCGATCGTTGAAGTTAAGAAACATTCGCAGTGGTCGGTTATTGGATGAGTGACCAAAAATATACTACTTCGAGCTCCTCCGTACTTCGGAAGGCACGTTAGGCCGTTGGTCCCGGCTGCATCTGCAGTGGTTAGCACCAATCCGCACTGGGCCCGCGTGGTGGGTCATGGCCCAATCTTCCGATTCCATTCATAAGGAAAGCCTGTGCCTCAGCAGCGGAGACATTAAAAGGCTGGTAATGTGATGTGTGTGAATGGTACTTATGAGTGGCTGAATAAGACGATTAACTGAAATATCATACATAGCAGGTGGTTACCGTGTTTGATTTGCGGTTGTTACTTTCGCAATGATTGGTTATTAAACAGGTGACCCTTATCCAGGTGCATCTGCATTCTTTAACACCCACCAACGCTTACTGGGATGGCGATTTTATCACAGAACACAGAAAAAGGTTAGAAGGGTGATCAAAGACTGTTTGTACGGGAACCGATATCACCGGCTCGCCTCCACTACACATCCACCTTATAGATAACAGGGCAGGCAGTGCACGCGGCGCGGCATGTCTGCGCGCGCGTCGGTCGCGCCCCGTGCCTCGCTCTCACTTGCGCCCCACGCCGCCCCCGCCCCGCCCTAGTTGTGAGTGGTACGTTACCCGGCAGCGGCAGGCAGTGCACGCGGCGCGGCATGTCGGCGCGCGCGTCGGCCGCGCCCCGTGCCTCGCTCTCACTCGCGCCCCACGCCGCCCCGCCCGACACATTCACTGCGGACCGCACCGACACACACGTGTTAAACTTAGTAAGAAATTAAGTTACATAAAGTACAAACCAAACTACTTGTACAATGTTTTTTTTTAAATTGAATTGCAAAGAATTAAATAATATATTTGTTTCAAAAAAGTGACTTAGTACTGATGTACTTTTTAGTGAGTAGGTTACAGCTGGCAATCAGTACCCCTAGCACGAACCAATATCGAATTCGTATCATTTGCGAGTCCGAAATGTCATTGTCAAATGTGTACTGCTTTTTAGTTCTCGTTACGTACTTTGTGCCGCTGCTGTTTAAGTTTACATCCTTTGACATTGACATTTCGTTTTGCAAACTATTCGAATTCGATAATGGTTCGTGCTAGGGGTACTGGTATATACATATCAGAGTAGAAAAATCTTTATGAACTTTACGCAGAACGAAATTATAACACTAGTGCAGATTTCAAACAGTATGTACAGAGTTACTCAAAATTATATAAAAAAGCTTGTAGAATAGCCAAGTCTAAATATCTGAACTCAAAAATCAAAAATAGTAATAACAAAATAACAATAATCTGGAATATTATAAATAATGAAACTGGAAAGTCTATTATCAGACCACTAAACCTTTGAGCCCCCATTGAAGCCGAGTCTATTTTAAAAGAAAGTATGAAAATTGTAATACGCAGTTTGAATTTCAATATATTAATTCTTATGATATAATAAAGTCTTTTAACCAATTAAATAAAAACAAAACCTCTGATCTGTGGGGAAAAGCCCTTGATGTTTCTAAATCAGTAATCAAAACAATAGCTCCAATATTAGCAGACATATTTAATCAGTGTATTGACTGTGGTGTTTTTCCTAATCTCATGAAACACAGCAAAATAACTCCATTATTTAAATCCGGTAGCACATCTGGCCCTACAAACTTTAGACCTATATCTGTGCCCACGCCCTGTGCCCCATTTTAAGTAAGATATTTGAAAAAATAATGTTAGACCAAATGCAGTCTTATTTCTATAAAAATAAGTTACTTCATACAAAACAATTTGGTTTTACAAGGGGTCGCTCTACAACCGACGCTGGTGTTGAGCTCTTACAACATATTTTTGATGCCTGGGAAGAGTCACGTGATGCTTTGTTTTTGTTCAAGGCTTTTGATTGCGTTTTTCATGAAACTTTAATCAAGAAACTACGCCATTATGAATTTAAATGTAGCACTCTGGATCTCATTGTGTCATATTTGAGCGATAGGATCCAGAGAGTTGACATCAATGGCAAAAGATCTTCCGGATCTTTAGTAAAAATGGGTGTTCTTCAAGGCTCGATTCTTGGTACTTTCTTGTTTTTAATTTGTATAAATGACCTACCTTACTTTGCAAGGGATAATCATTAGATAGTATTGTTAGCAGATGATACTTCACTTTTATTTAAAATTAAAATAAAGCAACCACTTAATGACGACGTGAACAATGCCATCTCTAAAGTAGTCCACTAGTTTAATGCTAATAATTTACTTCTTAATGTAGGTAAAACTAAATGTTTAAAAAATTTATTACCCAATGTAAAGCAGACACAAACCAGTGTCACTATCAAAGATAAGAAAATCTAATAAAATAAATCAATATGCCCACGTTTCTACAAAAAGAAGTCAAATCCCACCAAAAATATTCTGTAAAAAACTAGCCAAGTCTCGATGGAGCTGCTTGTTTATCTCTAAATAGTAATGAAATCTAGACAAAGTCGTGCCAAGTTTAAGGTTCCTTACTGCGATTTCTGTATTATTATAGTTAATGTTATGTGACTTGGTATTTGAAGGGTACACAAGGGTACAAAACCAGGTCGCACCGCCGTCGAGGGCGGGCGGGGGCAGCAGCACGAGGTCACTGAGTCCCTCGGGCGCCTCCTCCTCCTCGCCGCGCGAGATATACAGAAGGCTAGTTACAGAGATGCGGCCAGAAGTCGTTGAGGTTGGCCCAGGCGGCGAGGTCGATGGCGGGCGGGGGCAGCAGCATGAGGTCGGTGAGTCCCGCGGGCGCCGCCTTCTCTCTGCTGCGCGAGATATACAGAAGGCTAGTTACAGAGATGCGGCCAGAGGTCGGTGAGGTTGGCCCAGGCGGCGGGGTCGAGGGCGGGCGGGGGCAGCAACACGAGGTCGCTGAGTCCCTCGGGCGCCGCCTCCTCCTCGCCGCCCTCCATCAGCGGCATGAACTCGCAGCAGTGGTACGCGTACGACAGCACCAGCGTCTGGACGTGCATAAAAAATAGAATAAAAATAGCCTTTATTTTATCACAAATTGATCAACAAAATTTATAAATTTATTAGTTTAATCTCTTGTAATAATAATTTCTTTGGTGAAGGCCTCTCCAGTTTTCTCCATCTCTAGCCTTTGTTCTCCAGTCTGGTCCGGCACTTTGTTTGAATATATCCTCCCAACGGTTTTTGGTCTTCCTCTACTTCTTTGTCCTTCTCTTGGTATCCATTCCTTACAACACATCTTTTTGAAGTGAAACTTCTTTAGGCACCCTTGACTTGGGGGATAAGCTGGCGAATGCGTTACGCGTTACGAAAAGTGTGTTCGGGTGAGGCGACTGGGGGTTAAGTGGGGGATATAAGCAAGAGAAAGCAGTGCGCGCGCACATATTCTTTCTCTCTTTCTCTTATAGCTATACATGTAAATATATATATATATATATATATATATATATATGGTTATACAGATGGAGCTATAGAAGTTTCACTTCAGCCGTGTGATCATAATCTCGTTTTTCTACCTTAAGGTTTTATGGCACTTATAATAAACATTAAAAAAAATATTCATTTCAGCTTAAACTATGCAACATATGCGATCTTTGTTTGGATGATAGATTAGGGCTAAGACTATTCATCACTTCTAGTTTGGTGCTTCCAAGAATCTCAAAATACCTAAACCTTTAGAAGTTTAGTTGATGATCCTCCGGGCGACTCACCTGTATCCTGGGGAACAGCTCGGGGGGATGGAAGTGCCGCAGGTGTGGGTTGTTATGCGCCTTGAGGTGCAGCAGGCGCTGCAGCCCGCTCGCCGGCAGCCACGGGAACACGTTGTTGCCCACGTTTCTACCAACCACGAAGCAATCATATTCATCATTTGTATAATATTATAGGGGACATACGAGCAGACGGTTTACCTGATGCTAAGTGATTACCACTTTCCATAGACATCTGCAACACCAGGAGTATTGCAAATGCGATGCCGGCCTTTAAGGAAGGGTACGCTCTTTTTTTGAAGATTTATCAGCAGTAGTCTATTGCTTCTTTTCTACTGCTGGAGCATAGATCTTTCCTATGGATGGAATAGGGAGTTTGGGGCATGACCCCACCACGCCGACCCATTGCACATTGGTGGACCTCAAAAGCGGCCGGGACCAACGGTTGAGTGTGCCTTCCACAGCAGCTGGTCAGAGTAATAAAAGTTTGGTCACTCATCCGATGGCCGGCTATTAAGAAAGTTGCTTAACTTCACGTGCGCCATCGAGCTCCTCCACGTGGCGATACATATATTATAAGAGTGAGAACTAATACACGCTTGCGTTACCAGAGTATCATCACTCGCACCTTTGCCTACGTTGACCCTATCCCCTACCGCGTGGAGCCATAAAACGTTACCCATCTACAGAAACACTACATCACCAAAAGGTTGTTGTATTTCACTAAAACTCCTGAATTACAGTTCTCACTAGTTTGGTAGTCGTACTTGGTACTGCATAATTAATAAGGTACCTGATACAAATAAGGCTTATGCTGATACACAGTCAGGTCATAAGTATTGTCACACAGTAAAAACTTTTCTTTTAGAATGCTGGCCACAAAAAGGTTATTGAATTCGAATTTCGAATTGTTGATGAAAATAAAAATGTATACTTTTTAGAATTTTACTCATTTTTAAATATGGAGTGGACGCTTAAAGAAGACCGTGTTGCAGTTATTGCGTTACATCGTTGCGGTTACGCGCCAATTCAAATTTTTGACATACTGAAAAATTTTAATATAACCAAAAGATTCGTTTATCGTACCATCAAACGATACAATGAAGACAGTGTAGATGACAGGTCAAGAAGTGGTCGCCCTCGGTCTGTTAGGCACTCCAGCAGTGATAAAAGCTGTGAAGGCGCGAATTCAAAGAAATCCCAAACGTAAGGAGAAACTGTTGGCCCTTCAGATGGGGTTAAGCAGAACCACGGTGAAAAGGGTAAATGAAGACTTAGAGCTTCGGGCATATCAAAGAAAAACAGGACATTGTTTGAATGAGACTGAAGAGATGCCGCGCTTTGTTGAAGCGGTACGCGGGAAAAAAATATCGAGAAAATCTTTTTTCGGATGAAAAAAATTTTACCGTACAAGAGAGCTACAACAAACAAAATGATAAGGTGTACGCACACAGTAGTGAAGAAGCGAGCAACCGTATTCCGCGTGTCCAAAGGGGTAATTTTTCATCCTCGCTTATGGTATGGTTGGGAGTTTGTTATTGGGGCTACATTAGGTACATTTTTGTGAGAAAGGTGTAAAAACGAATGCAGTTGTGTATCAAAATACAGTCCTGACGAACCTTGTTTAACCTGTTTCTCATACCATGTTCAATAACAGGCACTGGGTATTCCAACAATAGAACGAAGAGCACATAAGACTGGCTGGCGGCGCGTGAAATCGACTTCATCCGGCACGAAGACTGGCCCTCCTCTAGTCCAGATTTTGGGTCCGTAAGATTACAAGATATGGCAACATTGGAGGAAAAGGCGTGCTCAAAGCCTCATCCCAATTTGGAGTCACTCAAGACATCCTTGCCATCCCACCGGATGTTAATTAGGTGGGTGGGTTATTAATTGCGTCGTAAAAAATTTTTTTTTTTGATAAATTACTGAAAACGTTTTCTATAAATTAATAAATAAATATTTCCAACACTCACACCAAATAGCCTAGCCCCAAACTAAGCACTATAAGGCTTGTGTTATGGGATACTAGGGTAACGGTTAAAATACATATACTGTACATATTTAAGTTATTTATATAAGATATTTATATAGAAATACATATTAAACAGTACAAATGCTCGTATTCATCACGCAAACATCTGCCGCCACCGGGATTCGAACCCGGGACCTCTCGAGTCGGCGACACCATGAAACCCGGTATTCAAACCACTCGGCCACGGAGGTCGTCAAACTTATACTATCAACTTATACTAACATAAAGTGTTTTTGGAAACACTAATTACATGTGTGTGATGCAATCTGTGGAATGCACACTGCCCCTGACGGCGTTATCATAAATAATATTGGTAAAGTGGGACAAGCTTGAGTAACATATTATCAAATAGGTAATTTGCTGGAGTGGAGTAGGTACTTATGAATTCTGAAATCTGATAATATTCTGATGATAATCAATTGATTGCATCACAAATGTTATTGGTGTGTCAACTTACAAGTCTTCCAGCTTGGAGATTGGAACGAACGCTTCCATGTCAATATGCTCGATAAGATTTTCCTCCAGGTTTCTGTAAAAGAAACCGTTCCAATTTATGTAAATATTATATAGTCGGAGATTCATAATTATACATGGTAGTAATCCCGCTAATAACTACAATGTTAGTCACCACGAAAGTTTAAAACAATAAACATTTATAAATATTCAAAAGACGCAACAATGTCCTGGGTCCCAATATTTTACTAAGAAAAAGATGTCTTTGTAGTGTACGTAGGTCGTGTAATACGCTTGTTAGTGGGGAGCGCCGGCAGCCGGAGGGGGGTCCCCCTCCCTTTTCATTCCCATTCACACGATATTCATAAAGTTTTTCCAATTAACTGAGCCACTCGGTGAAATCGCTTCCCTTTGCATGTCTAATTGAGAATTGTTCGCGCGCCGTTTAAGTAAGTTCAGGAGGGTTGAGCTCCGATGCCTCTTTAATAATCCCGGCGAGTGGCGGAGGATATAATAAAGTTTGCCTCGCTTTCATATCCACCAGTAGCGGGAATCTTCCAATAATAACAACGTTGAATTCAAACGACCTTCTTTTAATCGTTGTATATTGCGTAAGCACATTTCTCTCTGAATCCTTAACCTCCCTAGGTATTGAGTACTACTCTCGGTTCTAAAGTACTGTCCCTGTAGACATTAACTTGGTAGGTAATGTTAGTCGATCTTGTATCAGCATATTTTTCGGTTTCCCCTTATCGCATTACGGTTCCCGAAGGAGCGAGACGCGCAGACGTACCTACTGCAGGTCGTAAAATGATATTCATGGGTTCGCCGAAGATAACTAGATGTGGAAATGTTTTATTATCCTATTCCAAATCGGCCATCCGATTTTATTCGTGCAATGAGCAACAACACGCTGGAGAGATATCAAGTAAAGTGATTACATCACTTCCCCTTATTTTATGCTGCAATGAATTTGGGATAAAGGGTCTATTAATAAATTGTATCGTTTCTTACGTAAATCTTAGGGATTGGTAGTACTTTATTCTTTTGAAATACTTTTAATAGAATCAATAATGGTTTAACTCTGTAAATAATGATTCTGAATGATATTAATTAAATAACCATTATAACTTTCCAAACCAAATTCAAAAAGTCTGTAATTGCGGTGGGTTCTTCAGCAATCTTCTTATTCGTACAAAAATATAGGACCTATACAAAGAATATTAAATGGTTATATTTTAAATACATGTGTGTGAGGGTGTGTATTGACAGCAGCTGCAGCGCAGGCGTGTGCGCGAAGGCTCGCGCGGGCAGGCGGCGCAGTATAGATGGTTCTAATGTGTGTGTGAGGGTCTGTACTGACAGCAGCTGCAGCGCGGGCGTGTGCGCGAAGGCTCGCGCGGGCAGGCGGCGCAGTCGGTTGCGCGCCAGCACCAGGTCATGCAGCCGTCCCAGCCCCGCTAGGTCGTCGCCCTCCAGCGAAGAGATGCTGTTGTCCGACAGCTCCCTGCCAACCATAATAACACCATCAGTCACTAACTAAAACCCGTGTCATTTGCCATGTGCTACAATCCACATCATGACATGGTCGCCATGCAGCGATGTATGTATACATTGATCGAGAAATAAATTAGAATGATGCTATATTTATATGCTACGTTCATTAACGTTAAAATATTTTATATACTAGGCAGATTGTACTGTGGTATAGTGAAGGATTAATTCGCTTGAAGAGAGAGAAGAGAACGTGCTGAACTCGCTGCGTGGGCAGATTAGTGGGCGCTGATCGTTTCTGCACCTACGCGAGATGCAGCCGTACTAGTCTAAATATCTACAAATACATTATTGGTGCAGTGATTCTTTATTAATGGTTCAAAGAAAGTGTTTTCCTTTTTTTTTGAGAAACTGTTCTGCCGTAATTTGGAAATACTTTCCGATTTTTATATTGTAGCAAAGATCTGAATTTAAATCGCTTCAGAAGTAAGTTTGATTAATAACAATGGAAGACTTACAACACTCGCAGCTCAGAGCACTCGTGCAGATCCGGCACTCGATCCAGCAGGTTGGACTTGACATCTCTGAAATAAACATACATCTCAAGTAGTTGCATCGAGATACCAACAATGTCTCAAGTGTTTATTCCTGGTTATGTCGCATCCATTGCCAAACAAACTTTGAATGCATCTTTTACAAAAGCCCTGAACTAGTTGACTAGAAGCTATAATGGTTTTTAGATTTTTAACAAGATATTTTTGTACAAGTTTGCAGAGAATAGTCGGTGAATTTGAAAGAGAAAAAAAACAATCTGGTTGTAAATCATCGATCAAATATAAACGGCTCGGAGTAAAATAACAACACTAATCATTGGATGTTTCCATGGTGTTTCTTACAATAAATAAGGAAATATTGATACAGTTATTGACAGCAAAGTTACATTCACTATAATAAAATACCCATCGAAATTCCGAAGACTATTCAGAATCATCATATAAAAGGAAAGTGATAGCCACATCTCCGAAATAACGGCACAATAATGGCCATTATTAATGATAAATCACTGAGAACAAGCTCAGCCTGGGATAATACGCCCTGATAGGCCGACTATGAGATCTGGACAGCAGCCAACATGGAAATCGGTTCTACAAAAAATTGTTTCCAAAGAGGTTGAGGATGCCATCTTCGAATTATCATTTGTGATTAACTGTGTAGGCATTTGGCTTTCATCGGTGTGACTGTATTGTGGTAATAAGAAAGAATGTTTTCAAATCGACGTGAAGCAATGAAGGTTAGCATATTCGACTGACTCATGGCGTGCATTGACGCATCCATCGATTTGGCTCGTCCAATATAACGTAATCTTCTCAAAACGCAATCAGGAACGATGTCAATTTATTGCTCATGGAGATTAACACCAATATGTCGGAATAACAAGGAAGTCCCCAATACTTATTGTCACAAACGCTCTCGAAAAGTAACCGCGAAAGTGCTAGAGATCGAATTTGCTAGATCACCGCGGGTCGCGAGAGAGGTCGAGTAATGCGGCTCATTCTAAAATGAGCCTTATGCAGTGCGGCGTAAGGGTGAAAGTACAACGACATCTGCACTTGTTTACAAGTTATGCGTGTTACCTGCGTAGGTATAAGTAGGTATTTCGTACTCGCGGGTGCTAGGTAATTCTCAATTTAACAGGTACTTTCTAGAATGCGTCGATCGGCGTATATAAGCGCGATTGGCGCCGCGCGGAGACAGTTGAGTTTTAACAGCGATTTCGGAGTGAATCCAAAGGCGATCAAAGTGCAACAAAAGTGTTCAAGTGAGATTGTTTAGAGACTTGTATAGTGAAATACAGTGTTTAGTGAGTGTTTTGCAATTAACATTGTGTGTTAATTGTGTGAATTGTGGTGAATAAGGAACTATCAAGCGTGAACTGGCATATAATTTCGAACCCCATCCCGACACGTAACAACTGGTGACAGAAGTGACATGCCAGTCACACCGCGCGACGGAAGCGAAGGCGTACGCACTCGACGGCAGGCCGTAATGGACCATTCGCGGGAGTCGGCAGCAGCGGCGCCGGATTAAGAGACCAGCACACCACAGTGGTGATACCACTACTGCCACGGTGCCTACGCTCAACTTATTGACATTGTTGGCGGCTATTAAAGACGTCAAGGAGAGTCAACGACAAGCTATCGAGGACGTCAAGGCGAGTCAACGTGAAGCTATCAAGGACGTCAAGGAGGACGTGAAGGCAGCTATTAACTCTAAATTTGAAGCATTCAAAACAACTTTGTGCGGCCTCCAAGACGAAATAGAATGCGTAAAGAGTCGTACCAACAAACACCAGGAGGCCCTAAACAAACACAAGGAGAGCATAGGCGAATGCAAGGAGACTCTACGATCCATGAGAAAATGTTAAGGGACCTTCAAAAAACCAAGGTCATCAGCACTGCCATAGCAACCACGGGTACCACGGCACCTAAATTTAAAGTACCGGCGTTTGATGTACAACTTCTTGGGCGGCATTCAGACACCAATTTGAAGTCGTAGCCCAAGGAAACGGCTGGGAGGACGAACACGCCCTGACCGCACTCACTCTTGCGCTCAGGGGGGATGCTCTTCTGATATTGGAAAATGTACCAGCCGATCAACGAAGTTTGGAAACTCTCCTCAAAGCGCTGGAGGCTCGTTACGGGGATAAACACCTAAAACATGTGTATCGAGCGCAACTAAAAGAACGGTCACAGAAACTAGGAGAAGGATTGCAGCAGTGGGCCACGGAGAGTGAACGACTGGTGCGTCGCGCTTATGCGTCCAGTAAGACATCCATAGAAGACATTGTAGTTCAAGCTTTTGTGGATGGTATAAGAGAACTCGAAGTCAGGGCGGCCGTGCCTTTGGGACATCACACGACCCTGGAAGCTGCTTACGCGCACGCCCTGGAGATAGAAGCAGTACGCAATGACTACAAGACGCACAGAGTGCGAGAAGTTATTGCAGCAGTCAAACCTCGAGGTGGACTATGGATGTGGAGAACGAGGGCACATCAGGATTAACTGTCCGGTCCAGCGGAGAAACCGGACAATGTCAACCGCTACTCAGGTTGATTGTAGCGTGGACTCGGTTGCAGAGCGGGCACGAGCTGGACGTCGTTTAGCTCCCACAGTACGAGTATCACAGGCATGTGATGGAAATAGTCTCGTAACCGCAGGAGAAATAAACGGAAAGCCTGCACAACTTACAATTGACACTGGGGCATCTAAAACTATTGTGGGGCCGGAACTTCTCAAACGTACAATCATGTGGCAAGGTAAAAGATCTACGTGTCAATTGCAAACAGCTACAGGCCAGCCAGTGACCGTCCTGGGAGTGACAGATATCACATTGAAACTAGGAGACAAAATCTACAGACAAAGCGTCTTGGTCGCTAACATAACGGACGACTGTATACTCGGACTGGACTTCTTACGATCACAGCAGTGTGTGGTGGATATCTCTAGAGGAGTATTGAATTTTCCGGATCAAGAAATATTTCTAGAAGGAAACCCTCCACCAGTGGTCTACAACGTCAGAACGGTTACCCTACCAGAGAGGTCAGAGACATTGGTAGAAGTCAAGTTTCCGGAAGGTGCGTCACTGAATCGATGTGTCGTAGTAAAAGATACCGGGAGTTAGCGATGGACGTTGAATTAACGAACAGTTTAAATAGACGGTCTACGTTCAATCGACGCTTCGACGGTCTACAGTTTATTCGTTAACTAGTTGAATTCATAGACGGCTAAACTGAGAGTCCACAGCGTTCATATCAACTGAGAACGCGACGTCGACGCGTAAACGTATCTGGTTTACCCGTTACAAGTCCATACGTTCGTTCATTCGTTGAAATAAAGCAATTTGAAACGTAAGCATATGGAGTGGGAGTTGATATTTGTTCGTTTTTTAAACTAGAGTTGTTAGAGTGAAAAGTCAAGGGTATTCTGATATTGCGTGAAAGAGTACGTCGATGGATCTGGCTAAACGATGCAGTGCAGGATGAACGGGTTTATAATAATTGTTTTCCTCAAGTAGTTGCAGTTTTGTTTATTGAAATTTGAATGAAATTAGTGTGTCGCGAGGTCAAGGTCAAGGGACACGTGAATGCGAATTTAGTGCAAAGTTCGTTTGAATTGAATGATTATTTTATGAGTTTAATTTGTAATTTATTTTGTAAACATTTAAATGACTATAATGTAAAGTGAATACTAAATAAAGACCCCGTCGTCGTCGTTGCGTCGCGCCCGTAGACCAGTCACCGCGTAGTTGATATGAACCCCTCAACGCTTGCCGTTATCACGTCAACTAGTTGAAGAATTCAACTAGTTGATCGACTAGTCGATGGACGGTAGTGGACGGTTTAGTTTCGTCGATGAAAAATATGTCGATGACCCACATCTACCGGGAGTCACTCTAGTTGGATCACGGCTAGAACCTTGATCATGACCAAGAGGGCAAGGGTAAAAATCGTAAACACTAGCAACACTGCGATACAGTGCGATAATTCCATAACTGTATCGCATACAGTTATGGAAGAACACGGTCATCGGACGATGCGCAGGTGTAGACTACATGACAAGAACTCAAGAATGCTGTAGAGAACCACCTTCAACGAGGCACATGAATCCGTTACAGGAGAAAATGAAGACAAGTTTGCCACCTAATGAAGCCAAGGAACTAATATTAGACTACAAGGACATCTTTCAAATGGAGAAAATGACCTTGGGAGGACTAGCCTTGTCAAGCATTCAATCCACACCGATGATACACAGCCTATCGAACAAAGACCTAGACGAGTGCCTCTGGCAAGAGAACAGGAAGTAGCGGACATGATTGAGAAGATGTCACGTGATAAGGCCATCGAACAATCAACTAGCCCCTGGTCTTCTCCAGTAGTATTGGTGAAGAAGAAAGACGGCAGCACCAGGTTCTGCGTGGATTTCAGGATGCTCAATAATGTGACCAAGAAGGACCCTATAAAGTGATTACGAAAATCAACCACGTGCCCTATCGGATAAGACAGGGAGATAGGAAGAAGCCCAAGATAATCCACATCGATCGCCTGGCACCTAACCACGGCAGCAATGATGCTCGGGACGAGCATGTCTAAGAGGGGGGCAGTGTCACAAACGCTCTCGAAAAGTAACCGCGAAAGTGCTAGAGATCGAATTTGCTAGATCACCGCGGGTCGCGAGTTAGGTCGAGTAATGCGGCTCATTCTAAAATGAGCCTTATGCAGTGCAGCGTAAGGGTGAAAGTGCAACGACATCTGCACTTGTTTACAAGTTATGCGTGTTACCTGCGTAGGTATAAGTAGGTATTTCGTACTCGCGGGTGCTAGGTAATTCTCAATTTAACAGGTACTTTCTAGAATGCGTCGATCGGCGTATATAAGCGCGATTGGCGCCGCGCGGAGACAGTTGAGTTTTAACAGCGATTTCGGAGTGAATCCAAAGGCGATCAAAGTGCAACAAAAGTGTTCAAGTGAGATTGTTTAGAGACTTGTATAGTGAAATACAGTGTTTAGTGAGTGTTTTGCAATTAACATTGTGTGTTAATTGTGTGAATTGTGGTGAATAAGGAACTATCAAGCGTGAACTGGCATATAATTTCGAACCCCATCCCGACACGTAACAGTATAATCATGAATCTGGTAAATAAAATGTATTTTCAGTATCATCATCATCATCAGTTTATTCATGTCACCACTGATGGGGCACAGTTTTTACCTTGTGGATGGAATAGGGAGATCGGGTCATGGTTAAATTTCTGTCATCTAAACAGTATGCCATTTTGAATTCGACCACAAAACCATTCGTTCAAACAATAAAATATTCCTATAAGAATAATCGTTTAAAGAAATGAAAAGTCATTTATTCAGTCTAGGCTATTACAAACACATGTGAAGGTCAAGAAGCTACGCCATCGGTTCGCAAAACTACGGCGGGAGACCTTGTACTGAGAGGAACCAGCAAGAAACTCAGCACAGGCTATTTTTTTTCTCCCTGTATTGTTATATACAGAGTCGTCAAGTTAAAAAATTACTTCTGACAAGAAGGTTTTACCAAGTGTGTTATGCCAAATGAATTTCGCAGTAGCAAGATTTTGCTAGATAGAGGAAACCCGGAGTATGATCCGGGATCGTGGGGCACTCACAGGGTCCGCAGCTGGGGCGCGTGGCGGCACAGGTCGGGCGGCAGGGCGGCGAGGCGCGCGCGGTCCGCCCGCAGCGTGCGCAGGCGCAGCGACCCGTTCAGCGACGGCAGTTCGCGGAGACCGCGCGCCTCCGACAGCACGCTGCGTTACAACAACATAAGTAGTCAGGGGGCTTACTTCTAGCATGATTCTCTTGTGTGCGATGAATGATTCTCTAAACCAAAATCTAAATTTGACAATAGTATATCCTTATCATGTTCCATAAAGAATAAAGAGGATAGGCTGCTGACAAGTTTAGAGAATAATGTTCGAATGGGGTCCATTGTCGTAGTCTCGCGACTAATGGTAATCATATGGTTTATAAATGTATAAAATTATTAAGAAGATGTCATTTTTTTTTGTCAGCTACATAACTTATGTAGCTGCAGGTACACGTATAAAAAACACACTATATTATAAAAAATAATTTAAAAAAAACCACGGGTTGCACTCCGGCAGTGCCGGAGGAAGTGAAAACTTGAATATAGTTGTGCATTTTTGATATTTTGGAATGGTTAGGGAATAATTTTGCACGAATTGCTTTAATTATCAGTATAAAAGTACTATCATTTATGTGGTAGAATACAATATTTATTTCTTGCGCTAACGTACACAAATATGACAATTTATATAATTGTGGGTTACCTACAATGCGAAGAGATGGCGCTGCTTTGCAGTTTAAGAATGGATAGAAGAATTTCGACGCGGCCATCGGGGCCGCGGTAGCATAATTGGTCAGTGCATTCGCCCGGATAGCTAAGGGTGCGGGTTCGAGTCCCGTCTGCTGTCTGGTTCGCGTGGAATGTTTTCTAGTTATATTATCTTTTGATTTAAACATCAAGCAGTTACATGCTTAAAAAAATATTTATATATATGATTTATATTACCTTAAAAAGTTTATCTCTCAGAAAAATCAACTTACATGAATCACATTTAAGCGCACCTAGCGACATCTATTGTAAAAAAGTGCATTTCTTTGCAATAAAAATGCCACCTGGACGTCCTAATTACAGACTTATTATTATAATACGATAAAATAAAATATTACTATGTTTCGTCCAATATATTGAAAGTCCAATTTTATTGATTTCGTCTTACGAATTTTCGATTAGGTCAGAAATCAGAAAACATAAATTTTATTGCGTTTCATGTGATTTACCACACTAAGGTCTAACATTATTATAAGGTACAAACACATGAGTCCTGTTAGGACATAACAATATTGAGCTTATAGCTAAAATTAAATTTATATTAACATTATAAGTAGTACTCTATTAACAATTATCAAATAAATATCAAGTCAATTTTAACAATATATAGAATTAAGAATAATAATAATCATGTCAAGGTATAACTAGTTTTTACGGGTTAATGCACGAAACTTTATTTATTTATTGATATATATGTCAATAAATAAATAAAGTTTCGTGCATTAACCCGTAAAAACTAGTTTTATTTAATGAGTGATGTGCGTGAAAACCTAAGAAACAAATATGTCAAGGTATCTTTAATATTTGAAATTATTTATTAATCCTATAGTATTCAATAATTTATAAAAATATTTATTAACAAGGTAATCATTTAAGGTTGTAACAAACTTATCGTATTCGTCTATCTGCCTAATATGCTTTGGTAACTCGTTGTACGATGAAATTAATAGCCATTGAATACGGCCCTGATCCAACTATTGATAGCGTAGTTTCACGTGGACACGTGACCTAATTAGGACGTCAGGACTGACGCGGTCAGGCCACGTGTACTGACGCGAGTTTAACAGTTTTTACCCATTACAAAAAGTGTACAAAACCGCTAAAGAAGTTTTAACTTCGCGAAAAATTTTTTTACGTTTAATTTGTTCCAACAATACCAGACGGGTGTTTCTGATAACAATACACATACTTTTCTGGCGCCGTACACAAATAGCCATCTTTTTGTTTGAGCGAAGGCTTATGTAATTTTTTAAGTTTAACTATTTTATTTTAAGCATAATTTTGCATTTTTTTAACTCCAAACAATAAATCAAAATGTTATATACATAAAATGCTACACCGACAAGCCATTTTATTTTGCTTTAAAGTTCTTGTTATCGTTATATCGAAAAGTAAGAATGTAATTTTGTCAAAACCGACTGGACTTTGATCTGAGATACATTTATTGTATACTGACAATTACAACTCTGAATCACAACTAATAAATTAACTGAGCGTATATATCGTTAATGCAATCTGTTTAATCGTTTTATAAAAAAAGTAAATTGTCAATAAAGTTAGTTATGTCAGCCTACGTTAGATGTTTCATTTCGTAGTATAGTGTGATGTGTGAACATTTGGTCCATAACTCGCCGGATTTGAATAAGTGACGATAAAACAAATATTTGGATATTGTAAGTCGTAAATATTATATAGATTTCAAGAAATATACATAATAAAAGGGAAAATATTCGTCGTAAAATACGGATAATTATTTGACAGTTGGAAAAGAGTATAACGGAAAATTATTTTGATTAAACTCCCTTTTCTCTATTATTCAAAGAGTATAACGGAAAATTATTTTGAATATACTCTCCTTTTCTGTATTATTCATACCATGGATATATGAAAAAGCTAAGTTGAATAAAGAGTAATACTTTATTGTGTCAAGTAACTGCAAGAAAAATGTCCTTACAAGAAGTAATTATTACGCAAAATGAAATCTCATTACACATTACTAAAGCCTTATCTAATTTCAAGAAATCGAAAGCAAGAATTACTAAATCATATATCGAAACGAGATTAGAAATATTAGAAACAAAGTTCCAGTTATTCAATAATAACCATCTTGACATTTCAACAAAGGCAATGCATGAAGAAAATAAAATTTAAAATATTTTCAAGAAGATACGTACTATAGTTGTGAAGATGTCTATCTCGAGTTTAAGACTTTGATGAAAGAGAAATTAGAAGAATTGCTTTTAAACTCGTCGACTTCTATAAATAAGGGAGAAGTTCCTGTCTCCACAGCTCCAGGCAAAGCTCTAAGGTTACCAACAATTGAAATACCTGCCTTTTCAGGAAGTTACAATGAGTGGACAGGCTTCTATGATTTATTCAAGTCGTTGATACATAATAATACACAGTTGTCTAACATAGAGAAATATCATTACCTGAAAAGTAATTTGAAGAGCGAAGCAGAGATTTGATTAAAGCAGTTTCCATTAACAGAAGCGAACTATGAGAAAGCATTAGAAGTATTGAAGTCAAGGTATGATAACAAGAGACTTATAGTACATTCGCACAGCACACGTCTACTTAATCAAAGAAAGCTTACGTTAGAGTCAGCCGAAGGGTTACGCGCATTATTAGACACTACGAATGAAGTATTGAATGCACTTAATAATGTTGGCGTAACAACAACAAACTAGGAGCCTCTTATCACACATATCATCGTAGCAAAGTTCGACAATGATAGTCAACGTTTATGGGAACAACTGTTAGCAGGGACTAGAAATATTCCAACTACTGAGCAGAAGTTAGATTTTTTGGAAGTTAGATTCAGATCGTTGGAGGCTTTGAGTGCTACACAACACAAAGAAGTTGTTACGCGTCAACCGTCAATCAGATTGTTCAAAGCGGATATCGAAGTCATTTGTTCGTTTTGTTTGAAAGATCACTACATCTACAACTGCAAGGAGTTTGTGAAATTGAGCCCAGAAGAACGTAGAGATGTAGTCCAAGAGAAACAACTATGCTTCAATTGTCTTGTACCTGGACATAGTGTTAGATTTTGTAAGCAGCTTAAGTCATGCAAAGTATGCAGGCGACGTCATCACTCTCTTTTACGTTTGGCTGCCTATAACACGCAACAAGCTTATGCTTCACAAGTTAAGAAAGAACAAGAAGAGGATAAAGAAGACAAAGACACTTCCCAGTTGGCTTTCCACACAATTGATATTACTGATACGCAAGTCTTACTAGCTACGGCCATAGTTCGAGTAATAGGTGAAGATGGCAAGAAGTATCAGTTGCGAGCTCTGATTGACCAAGGTTCACAAGCATCGTTTATTACAACATCAGCCGCTCAGCGACTTGGTTTACGTAGAGAGCGTAATTTCAGCAAGGTGACAGGAATCGACATAAAACTATCGATGATTTCTAAAGAGATTGCAGGATTCGACATTTTTTCATTATACAATGATACGCCGATAGTTAATGTAGAAGCTCATGTATTGAACTCACTTTCTTCGATATTGCCACGCCAAGCGATGCGCTTGAATTTGTCATCAAGTATAAAAACATTGCCTTTAGCAGATCCTACGTTTTCAAAGCCAAGTGGTATTGATCTTTTGTTGGGGGCTGGGATATATGCTCAGATTATTACGGAGGGGTTAAAGAGATATGGTTCAGTCATTGCACAGAATTCGCATCTTGGTTGGTTTATTTCAGGAAAAGTTGAAGAAAAGGACACTGAAACTAGAGAAGTTTTAATGCACAGCCAACTTGAGACAGATAAGATAATACGGCGATTCTGGAAATCTGAAGAACTACACCCTAAAAAAATGGTTGCCTGTAAAGTCGGTTTTACGGGCGAAGATTTTACGTGACAACGTCTTTTTCTCGGTAGAATATTTATTGATATGAATATAATTAAATTGCACAATAGGAACAAGGAATTGAATGAAAATAAGAATTGCACAAATTTTAACTATAGAAATATATTTTGTTTACTAAAACATTGTACATGTAAACTTAAACTTAACACGAGAGACTCATCGTAACGTTACCGAGCGTTACACTTTTTCATAAGTGACTCCCAGCCGCAACCTAATTTAAGACGTTGTCACGTCAAAATCGAAAAAAGACTGCACGTAAAACAGAGTGTGAAGAGATATCTGAAAGGACATATTCTCATACTGACTCGGGGCGTAATATTTCAAAGTATAATGGCACACCAATCGGAGTATCAAAGTCTCTTGCTGTCAAACGTTTGTTGCTAACTGAACAAAGTCATCAGAGGAATGAGGATTTACACAAGCGTTATAGAGGTTTTATGGATGACTATGAAGAGTTACAAGATATGAAAAAGGATAGTTTTAAGAAAAGAAAGAAGAACCACCAAACCTCTTGTTAGTATTAATTTAGATGAGTGACAAATATGGGAACATCTTTGAACAAGCATTAGTAATTGTTTCACATTTATAAAATAAAAATACTTAGGTTTTGGGATAGAGAACATACTCGTATACGTAACATTTTGAAAGAAGTTTTGCCTGCATTACTGCAGCGGGGGGAATGGTTCGGTGAAAATGGTTAACTAACTCTAACTATGTTGACTGAAAAAAAAGCTAGTTCTGAATACAATGTTTGAATGTAAATGTTATGCATGAATAAGTTATTCTACATAGGTTATATTCTACAAAGGATATTAATTGTTTGTTACTAAGAAAAAAAGGATAAAGAGCAACGTTTATGATTTGAACAACAAGTATATTAAGTAGCAGTAACTTCTCTCATGAATTTTCTAAGTACTTTACAGCTAAAAATTAATACAGTCCATTGTTTAATGAATTTCTAAGCAATTTTAAGAATGATTGAATGAAGAAACATCATTTTGAAATAATAATAATGAACTATCGAACGGTGAATGTGTTTCTTAATCAAGTCTATTATATATTATGTTGAATGTATGTATGATGATGTTGACATAAAGATGCGCCTGTTCATCATGATGCTTAGTTTTGTTTTGTTTTGTTAGGTTATTATTGGTAAATATATTAAATTGTATTTTTTTAAATAGACCATTGACTATTGCTTCAAATGTAGGTATTGAGGTCCACATGCTGGATAGAATAATTAAATGTCAGATCTTTGTCAAGCTACATGTTAAAGCAATACAATTTATTTTAAGATATGCAACATCTAGATCTACTTATCGAGTAACGGGTAATTTGCCGTCAACATAAGTCATTGTTTCTAAAGCGTTTTGGTAATAATGTTGATTTCCGATACAAAATATTTAAAGTTTTTCATTCAAAGTCAAAAATTTGTTTCGGAATTATTATCCAAGTTTTCGAAGATCTATTCAAGATAATTTTATATATTTTGTTTAAAACAATGATTAGTTAATATGCAATGAATGTAAATCTCCGTTTACAAGTCGTGTGTACAATTAAAATTCATTCAAGCTACTTAAAAGCAAGCATGGTAAAATTATTTAACTCCTACCACAAAGATTTGCTTATAACCCAAGGAATTCTAATTTAAAGGACTAATCCGTCCTTGGGTGGCGGCATGTTTAATCGTTTTATAAAAAAAGTAAATTGTCAATAAAGTTAGTTATGTAGGCTGTTAGATGTTTCATTCGTAGTATAGTGCGATGTGTGAACATAATCTGTTTTAGAGAACTGTATTCCTATTTGAGGAAATATTTTGACCTACTCCTGTGTGTATTCTAAAAATGATCGTGTTAAAGTATTTTTTCTGCAAAGTAGAAATACTATGTTTCATTAAAAGCACATATTTTGAAGTACTAGTTAAAAAAGTGAAAAAAAGTTTTCCATGTTCAGGAAAATGTATGATTTTAGATCTTCGCATTAAATTTTCTTGAGTTTTTTCTTTTTCACTTTAATGCTTCTTCGACTTCGTTGAGCATCCAACAGTAGCCGGCAGACATGTTGACATATCAATTTCCTCAGAACCGTCTCCTAAAACCTGTTCTGCAGTGTAAGCTCCAACTTTGAAAATAGTCAAAGTGGTAGAATAAAAAAAAATGTTCAAGCTTTTCTTTTCAAACGCTGTCCAACATGCATTTCACGACGAATTTTTAGTCAGATGATGTTTCTGAGTTTCGATTATCATCATCTATCTAGCAAGTTAAAAGTAAACCGTTTATTTAAAATAATTATGATATAAAAAGCTTTTTAGGAGATCGTGGTGTTTCGAATGATGAAAAAAACAATATAAAAAGAACTTTCAAGAAGGCAAAAGTATAAAAAATTTATTTATTGTATTAATCAAAGACGCGGCGTCGTCGCTCGGTTAGCCCCCGGTCTTTCGCTTTATGGCCGGCGAGATATTGTTGCTATTTATTTTGGGTCGAACGGTGAACTTTTCCCATTCGGCGGGAGAAATAAGATTACGTCCGGTGGCGGTATTCTCGCCTCGGCCCAAAACGCAGCGGTCGCGCCGCCCGCGGCCCCGCATTGCCTCTAGGACGACCACTGCTGTTAATGATTCACAAAAATTTACCAACAACTTGACGTTGCTCATCGGCGGATCAATGGCGTGGCATTGATTGGTACAAGCAATCATTTATTTGCCATTCACTTATTTGCAATACATCTATAGCTGCCAATGTTAATGATGTTGCCATTTTGCCACTACTCGAAACGATCGTTAAATCATTAGACGAGTTCAAGTGAATTCACGCGACGACGACGACGCTCCGTCAGCCTTTTATGTCTTATTCCAAGACACCGCGACACTTATCGAGCGAATTAAATTCACGCGTGGAGGGTCAACGTAACCGCTGTGCTCTCTCCCCCTTGCCCCACTCAGTCTTCCTCGCACCGAGTTGTTTGTGCTCACATTTACAAGCACATATCGGCCTACCGGATCTGTCGAGTGGCCATTTTCCCCAAGATATATTCACTTTGGCATCGAGCGGGTAATTTGCGACGTGTCGCAGCGTCCGGTATCCGACGGCCGCAGGAAACCGGACGAGTAATGACGTCATCCAGGCGGCGGCTGTAGTGGGGGTGAGGTGCGAGCTCCGCGCGGCGCCGTCAATGACAACGCCAGTGAATGGATCACGGATTCAAGAGTTTCGCTGTAATCAAAGCGTGTTTGCGAACATACTACCGATTTGTCGAAACACTTGTAACCGAGACTGATACGACGACGAGTCAACGAACGACACATATCTGTCAGACCAACACGGGAATAACACCACTGTCATTAAAGCGTTTGTAAAGTTACTACACATTTCTTGTAAGTAACGTAACACCTTTTAATAAAACTTGAATACAAGTCCGATCCCTTAATTTTATATTATGTTAACTCATAAAACTCGGCATCCTATTAACTACGACGAAATGGAAGTTACTCATTAGAAAAAATCAAGTTATAATAGAAAATATAACTCGTCCAAAGTCCCGATGCAGCGTATATCGCAATCTGGGCGAATAAACTAACCGATAACAACAATCCATTCATCCAGTATCTTGGCAGAGTTGATTTTCCGGACGGTATGGCGGATGGGGCTAGGTGAAAATTTTGTAAGAGTTTTCCGTCACCACCTAGCAAGGCAGCGTTCCGACTGAATGTTCCACGACGATCGCTATATTTTTCCTATCAAAATTGTTCTAGATATAAAAGTCGAGCAGTAAACATTTATTATTGTTCGGCGGCGACGTCACCGGATTTTTCAAAAAACTTTACCGAGTTTGAATGAGAGTTATTATTGTAGATTATCGTGATGCCATAACGAACATCGACCTACTCAAAAAGTAATATCATTGTAAGTAGGTTCGGTAGTGGCGCAAGTCTAGCGCTCCGAGAAATATTTGCGCAAGTCGTTTTTACGTGTTTCTCATTGACAGAACGACACGATATTAAGTATTTTATGCTCTTTTTATTAAATTTTGTATTTTCTCATTTGGAGGCCCGAACTCCCCTCGTGCAATATATTTCCGGAGCTATAGCGGTCACGAGATAAGTAAAACGGAGGGTTGATTACGGTGCTGTTCGAGGGTCGCAACAGATTCTTGAATTACTAAATCTTACAGATTTATAAAATCTTACTTCATTATTCTCAACCTAACGATTTGGAGCTGAACGTAGTACGTGGTGGTACTTCAGCGGAAAGGTCAGGGCTAGGCTATATTTTAGGGTCGCTGTTGGGCCTGTGACGTTGCTTAACGACTTCCAGCATTTTGCTGTTGTAGATTGTAGATACGACCAATGCGTACCCGTCAACAGAATTTTGCTCAAATATGTATATACATATTTGAGCAAAATTCTGTTGACGGAATACGCTAATAATACATATATATATATATGTATTATTAGCGTGTCTTTGGTTTGATGGCCTTTGATTGATTGACAGTCTGAGGAAAGATGTAGTGGAAGGGTACACCTGAAAAATGTTAAGTGATTTTTATGTTAATTCAAGCAGGCGAACATATCCTCTATTCTTCCAGGCGAAGCCTAGTTTTCCCAAAGAAAAGTGCTTGGTCTAGGGAGCAATTGCTGTGATTAGCGTCTGCAAACCAACTCCGTATTTCGTACTCTTAACAACTTATATTATGAGAAATTCTGTGTATTTAGCAAATATTGCCGATGCACACTAAGTTTATATGCAAAATAGGAAGGATAAAAGTAATTTATTCGTCGTATCTTTTTTACAACTTATCTGTATTATAAAGGCGAGGCGAATTTTGATCAGGTACGGAAGAATTGTCTTCTTGCTATCATCTCATCATATCTCATCTCCGTGACCGCATGGGAAATCTGTGTGTTTGTTTGTACGTACAGCGTGGTGAGGTGCGGCAGGTGCAGCAGCGCGCGCTGGTGCACGCGGCTCAGCGGGTTGGCGCGCAGCTCGAGGCGGGCCAGTCGCCGCGCGCCCTGCAGCACCCCCTCCACAACCACTTCCACGCGGTTGCTGCCCAGCGACCTGCCGGCACAAACGAATCAGCTGAGCGTTCCCTGTCCAACTGTAAAGTTAAACTGTCCAGATAAGCGTGAAAGAGGCGAAGAAGTTACCCCGCGGGTCGTACTTTGCATTCTCTTAGAGAATATGCGAAAACGATAGTTTATCATCAACAACTATAACCCGTGCTTGTATCACCCAAATCCCCTTATTGTGATTCCAATCCTTTACAAATGGTACGGTGCATGGGGCCTAGATGAAGAAAATTGTAAGATTTTTCCGTCACAACCTAGCGAGACAGCTGGCTAGGCAGCTGGGTGGGCTGTGGACTTCATTAAAAAGAATTGTTTAATAGTTTGACGGAATCGGGGGATTTGGTCATCATTCATCACGCGGGCCCAGTGTGGATTGATGGGTAGGATTTTACTCTTGGATTTAATCGAGAAATTGGACCATGACCCACCACGCGGCCCCAGTGCGGATTAGTGCGTAGGATACGTTTTTGATAGAATAGGAAAATTAGGCCATGTTTTACCACACGGGCCCAGTGCTGATTGGTAGGTAGGATACTATTTCTTATGGAATAAGGAGATTGGGCCATGACTCGCCACGTGTGCCCAGTGCGGACTGGTGGTAGATTTAAAAATATTTTTAAATTCGTTCCAATTGAGTTTTTAACGTAAAATTTAAGTATTAGGAGTCTGTATACACTTTGTCTTAATCATAAATTTCAAAGCCTACAAATATGTCAAGGAGAAGCTCGATGGCGCAAATGTGAATGGTAACCGCGTTTGGCTGCGATCGTGGAAGTTAAGTAACTTTTGCAGTGGATGCAGTGGTCGGTCACTGGATGGGTCAGCAAAAAATTTACTATCTCGAGCTCCTCTGTGCTTCGGAACTCTGCATATGCACTCGTTTGCACCCACCAATCCACACTAGGCCCACGTGGTGGTTCATGGCCGCATTTCGCTACTCCATGGACTAGCAGTGGCGACAATAGGCTGATAATGATGACAATGTTAATGAAAGGCCAGCACTCACAGGTCTTCTAGCTGGGGCAGCAGGCGCACGGCAAGAGGCACCTCCGTCAGCAGGTTGTCATCCAGGCGTCTGCACACAAAACATTTGTACAAATTAATATGAACACTATAGACAAAACCAGTTTACCAGGCAGATACGAATTTATTTCCGCTTGCTACGAATGGAGCATTTAATTTTGTTTGTTTCTTAACATTCAAATATTGTTTAAGGATTAGTGGATACTAATAACCATCACTCTCGAACAAAAAAAATGTTGCCCAGGATTTTGAGCAGGCTGTGGTATAAAGCCGTTGATTTAGCCAGATTTTTTTATTTCTTTATTGATTTAGAGAAAACCAACAATGTTACAAATAATACTTCTATAAATTATATAAAATATGGTAAGAGCAATTACAGGTTTTCTTTATCATCTATACTTATAATAAATCTGTAGAGAGGTCAATTCTGTACATGAAATATATTTTCAAAATAACTATCAGGGGGTCATTAGTGATCGATACTGATGCCAAAAATGCAATCAGTAAAAATTTTGTCTGTCTGTCTGTCTGTGTGTATGTTCCTTATAGAAACAAAAACTACTCGACGGATTTTAACGAAACTTGGTACAATTATTCTTCATACTCCTGGGCAGGTTATAGTATACTTTTCATCACGCTACAATCAATATGAGCAGAGTAGTGAAGGGAAATGTTGGGAAAACGGGAGAAGTTACTCCCTTTTTTTTAGCTTCCGTCGCGTGTGCAGCCTTAATGGTTAAAGTTACATAGAAATTACGTATGACGGAAATATTCTACATAAAATTATCTAATAAATATCCCGCAACAGCATATGTCTATCTTTTATGGTTGACTCACAATAACACGTGTAACTCCTGATAGCTTAGCAGTTCGGAGCATTCCGATTATATAACGTAAATATGAGAATTTTAGTTTGATTATAAATACAGGTAATAAAAATTACCGTTTTTATCTATATATGTATATAAAAGTCAAAGGGGACTGACAGACATAGTGATCTATCAACGCACAGCCCAAACCACTGAACGGATCGGGCTGAAATTTGGCATGCAGGTAGATGTTATGACGTAGGCATCCGCTAAGAAAGGATTTTGATCAATTCTACCCCCAAGGGGATAAAATAGGGAATGAAAGTTTGTATGAAACTTTGTCAATTTTAAACCAATCGGGCTGAGACTTTGCATGCAGGTATAAGAAGAATCATAGATGAATGTCATTGTGTTTAATACAAGCCTGAGAAAAAAAACTATAGTGTACACTTCAGCTCTACACCGAAGCGAAGCGAGGGCGGGCCGCTAGTCAATAATAAGTGTGATATTAAACAAAACAACAACTGTACAAAAACATCAGCATCGCCAAGTCCTTTAGTTTTAACAGAGACAATGTAACAAAAATAAATAAAAAAGTAGCATACGGACAGACAGAATGATACTGATCTGTTATTGCTTTACTTCATATCTTTACTGTTATCGTTCTTTTAGGGTTTTCCTCGGTTATAGTAAATTAAAAAAATTCAAGAAAAATTAATAACCTAGAGCAAACCGAAAGGGCAGCAACAGTTAATTAAAAATCGTTTTTGAGGAGAGTATTGATATAGGGAAATAATGAGAAAATACAAAACAAAAAATCTGTTTTATTATTAAATATTAATATATTCACTTTTTACCGATTACCCTGACGTAGAATTCAGTTAATGATAGGATGTTAATTTTGTTGATATAACTGCAGTACCAGCAAAGTCAGTAGCTGTAATTTGTAGCAGTGAGTTGTGTAGAGATCTTTAATGATACGAATAATTATGAAAAGATTACTGCGTGTTATTTCGGCTCATTTGTTTTTATTTTCGGGATGAGATTCCTCGCCCTCAATTGACGGCGGGTGTCAGAGCACAGCGTCGTCATCGGCGGAGCGCGGTGTCGGCTGTGACAAGATTAATCAGCGCCGTTTATCGCAGCACCCCTCGCCCGCGCGACTAATCATCCCCGCCCCCGCGCCCCACCCCCCACCCTCGCCTATTAAGATAAATCATTGGTAGTTTACTCCTAATAGATTTATTACTCCTATCAGAGTTGTCACCGGCCCGGCAGCAGGTAGTTTCGACTGTAACTGCTCTGCTATGATGATCCATCAAATCTTCAGTAACTTCCGCAATAACCGTTGGTGAGTTCGTTCTCATTACTAACGTTTCTCCAAACTTCTCTATCCGAGATCATTAAAAGAGTAATGGGACAATCGAGAGAACCTATAATTGATGCGTGTAAAAGTCATCAGCTTAAATTATTGGAGCCGCTTTTTAATGTGATTAAGATAATGTACGCTCTATTTATGCGGCCATTTCTTTAATGGAAACTTATTTCGGGCTCCAGCGAACGACGGAATAAGTGGGTAAGCGGTCGCTTGTATGCTGCCTAGGGTAGGAGGGGGCGAGGCTGTTATCAGTGATTAATTATCAGAGCGCACTCGCGCGTCCGTCACTCGGCCTTATCTATCGACAGCGATGCGGACGACTTTCCTCCGGGAAGATAAACATCATCGCCAACAAGTATTGCCAGCGCAATCTGCCATTAAGGCTTCAATTTATCGCAGCAGCTTAAAAACCGATAGTGACTATCGCATTTTTTCGAAACCCTCAGATCAAAGACGTAAACCTTAATATAGCCAACGTATTATTTAACAAGATTGTGCATCTTATCTGACGAACCTTACTCTGTAATTAATTCTTGAGGATTAAATATGTCCCCGCAGTGGTCGTGAGACCAGCGGGAGCAGTGTCTGCTGCCACTAACTGGCGGCTTAATGTCGCCCGTAATTCGCACGCGAGCTTTACGTAAACGTCTGCGATACAATTAACCTCCTTGTACGTTAACCACAACACCGTCCGATTTAGTGGCGGTATAACTAGCGTCTACCAACTGCCTAGTTTAATTGCTGAACTTAAACGGTATGTATAAACCTTGTAGTTAACCCCTCGGCGCTCGGCAGTAAAACATTTGTTTTATTACGTTCGATCTGCGGCGTTGATAGGTTGGAAACTAATCCGAATAGAATGGAAATTTGCGGACGACTGCTGCGATTGACACGTCGATATTGCTGGCCGCATGTTATGAATGCTATAATCTGTGACATGATACTTAGTTACGGAATCCAAATGGATAAAGTTGGTTAGTGGTTTCACGGAGCTGCCAAATTCTCCAATATTTGTGTGCACCGCTTGCCAGTGCATTTAAAGAGCAATTAATTCTACACGGGTAAGTATAATATTAACAGCTTATGTCTAATAACATAGCCTACATGAATTATGACACCACGATATATATTTCACAGCTGCGATCAGCAAATTTAGATAATGACGTTAAAAGTAGAATAATGTTTTTTTTAAAGTTATCATTTTGGATATTTTTATGTATAAAAGTGAATATTGCTGACATTTTTCTCTAGACTTAATTTGTCAGTAGTCTCTCCGTTTTATTTTTGTACAGCCATAAGTTAAAGTACTTATTGACGCAGCATAACTGATATTTATCAGCTCTAAAATTTTGTTGCTTGGTTTTAGGTTTCCTTCCAAATTGTTATTATTATTAAAATAGATTTATTTAACAAAATTTATTGCTTTTTTATCCAAAGAATAAACCAATAGTTTGTTTATTGTACGGTGTTTTGTTAAATTTACTTACAACACTCGTATGTTAGGAGTATCCTCGAAGGCTTGCGGGTCGATGTGCGTGATGCGATTCCGTCGCAGCAACCTGCAACAAAACTTCCTATTACTTAATCATATTTCTACTTTTTATAGCTAGGGCAATTAATATTATTGTATCAACATTTGTGAATGAACACAAGTAGTGTGATCGGCGACTCCCGACCGCTGTCAGATTAAATCATCGCTTTTGCACTTGATTCCTAGTGCTGTCTCACCGCAATCAGAACAGGAGGAAAATGACAAGCCATATTTCATGCGGCGGGCGGACGGGCGTCTTACCTGGGTTCAAGGGCACGAAATTATGAGAATACTTGTAAGTGGCAGAGAACAGATTTTCCTAATATATCGGATCGGATTATCTACGTTAATATAGTAGAAAAAATTTAAGCTTCGAATAAGTAATACTACTAATTCTGATAAGTTATTGTTCTCTCTTCAATTGCGCAGAGAATTGCTAAGTAGTTTAAATCTAAAGAAAATTTTACTGGAAGGAATTCCACGCGGACCAGCAGCAGACGGCCTATAATAAATCCTGGTAAGAGCGGATTTTTTCTGGTGTTCTTTTTTTAGATTTATACATCTAGCAGTTAATATTAACAATATCATTGTGATGAAAGTTGACAGCAACACACGTTTTCAGGTTTTGATGTCATCTTTCAATTGACTACATTGTTTGAAATAAAACAGGGAGAAAAAAATTGCCCTTACTGAGTTTCTTGCCGGTTCTTCTCAGTACAAGGTTTCCCGCGTAGATACGAACGGATGGTGCGGATCCCTTCGTGCGCGAGTCCGACTCGCACATGGCCGATTATTTTTTACTATAATACCATGTAATGTAACGATGCAATCTGTTTTGTGTACCAAATAAGAAATAATATGAATATCCATAGTACAAAAGTTTGCGAAATTGCTTGTGAGTAATTTGTGATTATTTTGCTTTGACACACATTATCAAAACTTTGTACAAATTTATCTAACGAATGAAATGTTTACTTATCTATATTACATTGTTTCTATTGATTAAACTGTTAGGGTAAAGAGATGAAGGACGTAAGTAAACATCTCAGCAATTGAGATCAATTGAGTTGATGCGGGGATCTGGAGCTACTTGTGAGACCTCTGCGAAGGTTTACAAAGACCTTTCAAGGTTAGATCATTTCCAAGAGGCGAAATTAAAGGATAAAAAGGTCTGATAGTCGTAAAAACTCCTCAACTTTATTTAATTAAGAGACCATTCTCGCAATTAAGTATCATAAATCAGCCGGAGGGGAAAAAATTGTTTGCGAGATGGAATCGAGAAAAATGCCTAAAGTGTGAATCGGGGTCGGAGGAGCCGGCTATATTTAACCCGCGGTTCCGATGTCGGTGTCTCGATGTCTCGCGACGCGTGCCGCGTGCGGACAAGCACTCATGGAGCGGTTTTCACCCGGGACCGCAACTCACGTAGAACGACAAATTGTAGGTAATACATAATTGCAAATTTCAGGATGTGATTTACCCCCGGTGCGTGCGCGGTTTTTGCGACACCAGCTGTATCGGGCACGCGCGGTTCGTGCCGCGGTCACCCACTGAAGCGATGGGCTTCATCCGATCGCCTCTTGCTGAGTTTACGAGCGTTCTGGCGGATTCAGTTTGGTGAGTTTTAAATTTAAACAGTTCCATCACCGACGTGGCAGGTGCGGGAAAAAATCGTTCCGTGAGTTGTTAGCCTTTGCCAGTCCCGGCCGGGACAGACCGGCAACTGCGGCTTACTCGCGGCTACCACATGTTACATCAAAATTTAATTAAGCACTAGGTACTTATTATAGAACTTCTAAAAAAATATATCCCGTGTAACATTTAAGTAAGTATTATTGAGTATTTCAAATCAGCCTCGCGTGACTACCAGTCGGTAGTCAAACAGATGTCTTGGAAGCAGGTAATTAATGTTAAGGTCATACACTTATTTATTGGCAGTATTAAAGTGCAGACATTAATTAAATCTGCGCATTAATTAATTAATCATTAATTAATGATGAATTGGTTGCAATGTTATAGTATTTATAATATCATTAGAATTGATAGTCCTTATAATCATAGACACACTGATGGCGTTCAAATCAGTAACTAAATCATCGCGGATGTTATTATATTGGAATCGGATACTAACTTTAAACATTACAAACAATAGTTAGTTTTAAGTAGGTAATTTCTGGATTAGTTTAAATGGCATAAGTTTTTTTATCGTGTCAACTATAACTTTATTTTCAGTCGCAGAGTTTTCCCCTCCATCGGATTCCCTTCCAGAGATATTATAGCCATTAACATTCATACGCAGTTATGATTAGGAACGACCTAATCCTGGCGCAATATCACCAAGTTATTGCGTCGTCAAACAAATGGATTGACGATCGAGCGCCCCCTCGGCTCGTAAAAGTGTTACAGTTAACAGTAGGCTCGTGATGTTCAGGGGTGGTGCTCGGTGAGGGGATCCGGACGCCATAAACGAGACCGAGCACGCGGCGTAGTCCCGAACAACAGAACAGTTACGGAGCCACGTTATGGGGGAGAAACCGAGAACATTAATTCGGTAGAGCTGGATATCGAGTTACCCTCATCACGCTGCGGGAAAGTTTCATTACCTACTACTCGCTTACAATGAACCGCGACACTACTACATCAATTAACTTTCACTTGAAACTTTGTCAGTTAACGTGTTGACAATATGAACTTAACGTTAAAGTTTTGCTGTGTGAAAATAACAACGTGCACATCATTCATATTGGGGAGGAAATTGCGTAAAAAGTATTTTCATGTCGAACATTTCAAGTGAAATTAGGCACTTTATTGCTTTTCTTTAAGCACTTCGTTTTATTTCTTATGTTATGGCTCGATGTAAATAAAATGAGTGCAACAAAAGCTTTATTAATTATTGTGAAGAGTTTAAGTTCAGCCATGACTTATTCTGCGGTCTTGTTACGGAACAACCCAACGATTAATAAACGACTAATTGGGAGGATTGAGTCGCACCATTTTACATTGCTGCATTGCTATTATTAATGATGAATCGTCGAAAGTGTCGTCATCGTCATTAGTCTTAAACTAACTGTTCAAGACTTATAGTCAAATAGTTAAAGTCTTAAACAAAATGTTAACCGTTATACTTTTCCGTTATGGTTCATGAAAAGCACTACTATTATGTTTTTTCTCAGATTTTTCAAGCTAATAGTTTAGCTTTTAGAGGGGGGGGGGGGGAGGAGGCTATATTTGAACAAAATTACGTATCTTAATCGGATCAAAAATCTAGTAGTAATCAGTATGCATACATAAAAAAATCATACCGACCGAATTAATAAACTTCCTTCTTTTTGAAGTCGGTTAATAAATACAACATAAATTCTCACGAAAGTATATTTGCGACCTCATACTGACATTTCAGATAGTCGCATGTGGTGTTGATTGATAAAAATAGACCCGAATTCTGTTATATTCCCTCTCGATAGTAATTTCCAGAGCAGATATGAAGATATGAGCAGTCACTGTGGAATGTGTTCGTCGAAAACAATTTCTTGCTCAGATTATGCGTGATCGGCGCTTCTGTGCGTCACCCGCGGCCTACTATGGTACGCCGCCGCCGCCACTACCCCGAGGCCCTTCACATAACATTATGCATGCGGCTGAAAGAGCTCCCTTCATATCAATGAAGACGCAAGATTTATGGAACTCATCGCCAGCCGAGTATTTACTTATATATACAAATTTATGAGAGGAAAAAGTTGAATTTCGGATACATTCGGCAGTGAACGTTTTATTTTATAGAGACATCGGCTCTCATTTATGCCGGGACCATTAACGAGAGCAATAAAGCGTGTAGTACATTATGGCGAATTGATGTGGCACAGTATAAGCTGCGTCCAGCGTCGGCCATACTTCACGAGGACGGCAATAAAGTTGTAAATTGCAGCTTAAGCTGTCACCGTGTTTATCGGCGGCTCGTGACGTATGACGGCAATTTTATCATTCGCTTTGTTAGTGGATGCGTGGCTTGACGGGATGAATGCGGCGCTCTCTGGGCGGGCGGCGCGGCGCGGCGGCGCGGGTCAATGACCGCCCCGACACCGTCTGCCATTCAACTCGGAGTGTGACCACACACAACACAACCACTGACGCCGATGTGCGGGAGCGCGACTTTTATTCTATTGCATATTAATCGATGTAAATCTCATTCATCTTTTAGGTTGATTGCTTGGGTTAGGTCATGCAACCACCTAAAACGTAACAAGAATATGACCACTATTAATAATAAATAATAATAATAAATATTTCCAACACTCACACCAATTAGCCTAGCCCCAAAGTAAGCACTGTAAGGCTTGTGTTATGGGATACTAGGGTAACGGATAGAATACATATACTGTACATATATAAGTATATTTTTATATAGAAATACAAATGAAATATCCATGACTGGAGTACAAATGCTCGTATTCATCACACAAACATCTACCCCCACCAGGATTCGAACCCGGGACCTCTCGAGTCGGCGACACCATGAAACCCGGCGTACAAACTACTCGGCCACGGAGGTCGCATTGACCAAAACGATGATGATGCTTCCTAAGATTGTAATCTTAAAACGCTTACACAACTAAGATTGCATTAAAATGAGTGCATGATGGGAGGTACGAACTCGATTTTTTCTATTCGATACCGAACTGTTAACCGAATGCGCAACAACCGAATCGGTAAACCGTTTCGAGCAATAATTTAGTTTCAAATTACCCGCACTAGCCTTAATCCGAAACCTATTTATTCCCCGCAGCGGCTGCGTTGTAGTAATTATGTAAATACGGCCGTCGGCGACACTCACTGTGCGCGGGGAATACTCTCTCGTTCAAACGAGAAAATGGTCCATCCGAAAAATATCAAATAACCTCATGTAATAGTAGTCTCGACTTTTATAGCTCGTTTCGATAAAGCGGGGTATTTGTTAACGTGACGGGCACACGCGGGCGCGTGTTACATTCATATAATCTGGCAGTTTTACGAGGTGTTCCTGTATCTTGT